AAGGCGTTTTTAGCACGAAAAAAACGGCATACTATAGTAAGGCGTTTTTAGCACGAAAAAAACGGCATACTATAGTAAGGCGTTTTGAGCACGAAAAAAACGACATAATATAGTAAGGCGTTTTTGGCACGAAAAAAACGACACAGTATAGAAAGGCGTTTTTAGCCGAAAAAAACGAAATAGGATAGAAAGGCGTTTTTAGCAGTGAGCACACTTGAATGCACCATTTGACTCCTCTCGCCTTCATTACACGAGGAAGTGATGCTTCCTCGGGTAGATGAGGAAGTGATGCTTCCTCGTGTTGCTTTCCATTGTGAGCAGACGTGTTCAATAAACATTTTTATTTTAAAAAGAGCGTGGTTTCGGTTTTCAAACAATTCGGTTTTCGAACAGCCTTCTGGAACGGATTATGGATGAAAACCGAGGTTTGACTGTATGTGCATTGCAACTGATCCCACTGACTGTACAAAGGGACAAAACCTTCACAAGTAATTGGTCTTGAAAAATATATTCATGCACTTTTAAGATTAAACAAGATTTATGAAGGAATTTTTAAACCATTCACACGAGCATATAAAATCTAAATGTAATCCCTGCCTACACCTTACAAACTAAGGAGAGTGCTATAATATGTGGAAAGAATAAAGTATTCACATGTCCTTAATAGCGTCTGCTGTGTTGGGTCTGTCTCAGTGACAGACTGAGGCTGCAGTTGTCTTCTTCTCTGCACAAAACAATGTTGTCTTTTCCTCTCATCAAAACAGTGTGTCCCTCTAGCGGATATTCCATGAATTGCACTTTATTAAAAATATTCATTCCGTGTCTTTTGTGCATTTTCACTTTTTGTGCATTTTTTCACTTTTAAATTATCCTGCGGGCGTGATCAAACCTCCTTGCGGGCCGGTTCTGGCCCGCGGGCCGTATGTTTGACACCACTGTTCTTGGCGATCGTGAATAAAGTGCAAATAAAACACCCATTACGCACACTACCAAAACGTGCAAGCCAACTTTATTCATTGTTCCAAGATGCTTTGTTGATCAGGGCAACTCCGCTGGAATAGTTGAGACGCAAGTCTCGTCTGGATGCTTGCGGGGTGCTCTCTGCTGGTCCCAACGGGTGCAGGGGCTGAAAAACCTGCAAAACCCAAAGGATCACGGTGAAATCAAACTTCGTTTCAGATTGGGGAGGAAACATCGGATGACTTTCTGAGGGCCCCGATAACTTTTCCCCCTCAAAGTATTCACTGTACATCGATCAACATGACCGCCCCCACCCTCCCCAAGGGAGGGTGCCGGCTCTCATCGTTCACTTCAAAGAGCTGGCTCTTTGTACCGGCTCGTTCGCGACCGACACATCACTACGCCGGAGGTTCACCTCCTAGCTCCCAGGGCTTCCCGGCAGGACTGGATCCGAGATGTGCCTCTGGATCTCCGGCACTTCAGAGGAGACCTCCAGGTGCTCGGGGAGGGAAGGGAAGCGCTGGGCGGTGCCCAAGATCCCCGGAGCCTCAGGCTGGGGCGGCGTCAGGGACATGGTGTCGTCCGAGGCGGCCGTCACGTGGATCCCGCTGGACAGCGAGTCCTTGGACTTGGACTCGGACTCTGGAGTCTAGGGTGGGGAAACAGAACATGTTGGACACACTTGGAATCCTAATATTGTTGTATTTATTACTTTTGGAAAAATTGACAATTTTATCTCGTCATTTTTCAACTTTAGTATTATAACCAGACTCATCGTGTATTCCAACTTTAGCGCTCGTCAGACACGCTCGGAATCACGCAATTAATCGGCGCGTGCGCGTACCTGTAGCAGCGAAGCGGCGCTGTCCATCATGGGAGGGACGGTGCAGAGGGTGGGCGGCGGTGCGTTGCCGTACAGGGCGGCGGCGGTGGCGGTGGGGAGGGGGCTGGGTGATACGGCGCTGTAGGCGGGCGGCACTGGGGCCATCTGACGCTGAAGTAGCTGCAGGATGACGGTGATGTCCGCCGTCATTCGGCTCTCCAGTCTGCAACAAGAACAATGAATGCGTACATTTTTTGAGCCTACCCTCCGCTACTCGCTGAAAATCTCCTCCAGTTGCTGTTTAGCGCACAGGCCAAAGACATCGTAAATATATTGCTTTGGTGGGCATCTGGTAGGATCTCTGTTCAACTGAGAGGAGGAGTTTCATTTAGTCAGGTCTTAATTTTATCGAACAGATGTGAAGAGGAAACATGTTTGTGTGTCTGGGAGATGCTTGATTACGTAATGACCTGGCAATTTTCGCATTTCACAGCAGTGCTTGCTTCATCCCTCATGAATAGTGTTACAACTGTTGCATTTAACCGTTATTTTAGTTTGTATGAATTAATTACAATCACTTATTTCGTATTTTTTTTTCCCCAGCAGGCAAGTGACATCAATTTGATGTTTTAAACATCAGATTCCCACTGGATTAGTGATTCATTTTGATGCGAGACCTGGTTGAATCGATATGATGAATTACATTTTAAAATAAAAAGGTCGAGTTTAAGCAGTGGGTCACGTGACTCGTGTGATCCGGTTTCTGTAGAAATCGAAAGTAAAACGTGAAGGAAAGAGCAAAAACCACTTGTAGATATTCAACTTTTTACACATATTGCCCGGTGAATATGATTAAGTTAGGATTGTATAACCCTTAGAAGTTCTAAGCTTCTTTTAACCAAATATGTGTTCTAAGTTATACCACATATTTGGTTAAAAGAAGCCTCCAATTCATCGCCAGATATGAAGGCTAAAACTGTCCACCAGATGTCGCTGTCGCATGGCCTCGTTCACCAACACGCACACTATGATGCGAATATACGCCACAATTTTGTTTTTTTTGGATTATTACACTGTCATATTGTTTCCTTGTCTTTTATCGATGTTAATTTACTTGTAGCCCCAGATTATATACTATCAACAAATATAAAAAATGTCGGAGTGACTTGCAGAAGGGGGTATAGCTCAGTGGTAGAGCATTTGACTGCAGATCAAGAGGTCCCCGGTTCAAATCCGGGTGCCCCCTTCAACAGGTTTTTATTATTAGAGGAATGAATAATTCTGTCCTAAGCCCGATCGTGAAAAAAATTTTCGTACCTGTTTTTAAAAAAAAAAAATAAATGAGAGAGAGAGAGCTCAAATCTCACCTGTTCAACTGTGACTGGAGCACTTCCAGTCTTGACCCGAGCTCACTGGGCCGGTCCTCAGAACAGGGGACAGGCTGGAAGCCGGTGGTCCTGGCCGCAGACGACGAGCGTCTCTGGGCCTCGGAATACTGGCTGGCCCGGCGGTCTGGCCAGTAGCCGTATAGGCCCGACATGCTGACTGGAACTGTGGCTGTAAGGATGATTGTCAGAACATAAACGTTGCACTTGACTCTGGATGAAGTTACTGTTCGTTCATTTATAGAGTAACATCTCACATGAGCAAACTCCAAAGTATGGTGTTGAGGAAATTCACAATGATAGCTTATCGGGACGATACAGAGATGGTGGCGGACGCTTCACCTGAGTATGGTGGCCCAGCGAGGTCAATAGGCTTCGCCATTCCAGGGCCGGATCTACCGTGCGGCAGGAGGTTAATGACGGCCGGTGGGTAGTCTCTGGCATCCCCTGCCGGCGGGGGGTACAGCTCCATTTTACTGCTACGCCTCATATGCTTCATCTCCTCGTCGCTGGACTCGGATGAAAAAGTGTCACTATTGCACTGCTCGTCCCAGCGCGGCGTTGAGACTTTGTGATGGTTGGCCATTGGACAAGACTGCTCGGCGTAGGTCTCCTCCTGCTCCGCGCCATCTGAAGAAGGATTTTTATTCTTTTTTTTAACTGACGTATGTACTGGGAGAGATTTTTTTGTTTTGTTTTGTTTTGTTTTTGGGGTAAAGGCAAGGTCGTCGCTCACGGTTGTGGCGTCGCGGGGAACCTCTGTGGTGCCTGCTGCGACGGTAGCCACATTCAGAGTCCTTGCTTGGCGTTGACAGATTTACCCGATCTGCCTGATACACAACACCTTCAGTAATGGACAAATATAGAATACAAATATAGAATACAAATGCAATACATTTTTGTGGGTCTACTCATGACAGACACGCCTACCAAGTTTCATATTATATTTTACATTTTCTGGTGGTCAACACCTCCATCAGGTGACACTCACATCTCTCAGGTTGAAGGTGACCTCTAAGTTGTGCCAGAAAGTGTCGGCAAAGTCAGGGTACATGTCCAGAACCTCCATCAGGTCGTCCCTCTGGATTTTATGAAGGTCGCAGTACGTCAGCGCCCGCACGTCGGCGCTGGACTTGCCGGGCCTGCCGTACATGCTGACGGACTCGCCGAAGATGTCGTTCTTTCCTGGACGTACGCATGAGATGGGATCCAAACCCAAACAAAACAAAAACACTGCGGTGAATGTTCTATTGGAAAAGGAGGCACCCGAGCGGGATTTGAGTGCCACTGCTATTGGTGATCAATGGTTCTGCGAAATGGAAGAATTAAATGGAGCTGTGCCCAAACACCCCTGGCGAGGCAATACGACAGCTCTGTGTGTGTGTGTGTGTGTGTGTGTGTGTGTGTGTGTGTGTGTGTGTGTGTGTGTCTCTTCATGTGCGTGCGCTTTGATGTGAAGGCGGAAAATGGAAAAAAAAAACCCCATTTGAATTAAATTGAGATTTAAATCAAATCACATTTGAATTTAATTTCAATGAATGAACTGTGAATGTTCCTTTTGAGGGATTAAAATTCATTTAAAATTTAAATCAAGTTTAAAATTGAATTTTAATTACATTTAAAATTTGAATTAAGTTTGCATTTTAACTTTCATTAACATTGAATGCAAATTAGATTTCAATTAGATTTACAGTTCAATTATTATTAAATTAAAACAACTGAATTAATTTGTCTCGACGTATCGAGATTAGAACAGTCAAACTGAATAAAAAAAATTCAATTCCATTTCATTTAAATTCAGGTTTACATTATATTATATTTACATGATAATCATATGAAAACTATTTGGCAGTTTGTTGGTCACAATGTAAACAGATGCTTCAAATCGCACAGATCTTGTTGGAACTTACAGGATCTTACATTGAAGAAAACGAGTCCATCATTTCGCTCTTCGGAGAATGTGTCAACGTCGGTGGAGTCCGAATTAAAGTCAAAGGAAGCGGGCATCGCACTCACCCAATATGGCCACCACCATGTCGTCGCGCAGGATCTCGATGGAGCCGTTGGAGATGAAATAAAGGGCGGTGAGGATGTCGCCGCTGTGCACCAGGGTGTCGCCGGGCGGGGCGTGGGTGGTCTTGAAACGGATGGCCAGGGCGCGCAGGCAGCCTTTGTTGGCGCCTCGGAAGGCTTTGCACTGCTGCATCAGCGTGCGGTTCAGATGCAGGCAGATGTCGGCCTGCAGGCACTCGGGGAAGCCCTTCAACACCTGGTGGGAAACACACAGGGTGCCTTTAAAATGCGGCTGTCAACACGCCGAAGGGACAAAAGACTTAGTATGCAGTCGAAGACGTGGCCCTGCGTAGAAGTTTCGAGAGGCAGTTTGCATACTCACGGCGTTCATGTCGATGCCGTTGGTGTAGGACCAGGCGTGCTGGAAGTACTCCTCCAGACGCTGCCGCAAGCCACCGGGAATTTGGTGGAAGCGGATGAACTCTTTGACGCGCAGCATCTGCGTGTGGTACCGCGCCGTGCCTGAGTAGAGCCTCTGGATGATGGCCGAAACGTTGCCAAAGATGCTGGCGTACATCAGAGCTGCGTCAAAGGGAAGGGAGAAAGTTGAGCACAAAGAAAGGTAAAAAAACGAAGAAAAAAAAAACTATTCCTTGAATGAAACACCAAAAATACAAAAAGAAAAAGCACAAAAAAAGAAAACACAAATGATGAAAACAATATGATAACATTAAAATAAAAACAAGAGAAAAAGAAAATATAAATGTCAATAGTATATAAATAAAAACAATGCAAAATAACAAACACAAATAATAGTGAAAAATATTAATAAACATGTCTAAACTAGAAAAAAAATAAGAAAAACAATTTTAAAAATATGTAAAAAATGAATACATGCTAATTAAAGTTCACAGAAAAATAAATAAAGCGAAATAATTGTTTTCACTAAAACGCAGAGGGACTCACATCCAATGAGCATGACGCAAATGGAGAAGATCTTTTCGGGGTTGGTATTGGGCGAAACATTTCCGAAGCCGACGCTGGTGAGGCTGCTGAAGGTGAAGTAGAGCGCCGTCACGTACTTGTCCTTGATGGACGGCCCCGACGCCGCGTCGCTGTCGTTGTACTGCTTGCCGATCTGCTCGGCCAGGTTGTCCAGCCAGCCGATCTTCATGACCCCAACGCGGGCCGAGCTGGTGCGTTCCACGTTGCCGATGGCGTACCAGATGCACGCCAGCCAGTGGGCGATCAGGGCGAAGGTGCACATGAGCAGGAAGAGCACGGCCGCTCCGTACTCCGAGTAGCGGTCCAGCTTGCGGGCCACCCGCACCAAACGCAGAAGCCGCGCCGTCTTCAGAAGGCCGATCAGCGTGGTGGTCTGCGGCTGGGGAGGCAGATGCCATCTCGTTACTGCAGTCAACTCGAAAAATATTCATTGGCAAAAGGGTTAGAGCACGACTGTGCTTTGCGTTGTATTAAGCTAGCAGAAGGAAAAGTTCTGCGGTTGTTTTAAATGCAATTTCTCTTTTTTTGATGTTTAGTTTGACGGTGAACATCCACAGGGAATGCTAATAATATATCGACTGTAATTTTCTTTTATTAAAGATGATTACCTGCCAAACTGCTTCTTGTGAAGTGAGTTGAATTAACTGCCATCATACGGCACTCTAAAAATGTTTGCTCTAAAGTCAAAGCAACAAATTCATCCAAGCGATCTATAGGTGGAAAAATTTGCAAGTCGGGTCAAGGCACCATTTTTTTCCATACCTCCTCCGAGCCGGAGCGGAAGATGAGCAGATCGAAGGGTATGGCGGCCACGATGTCGATGAGGAACCAGCCCTTGAAGTAGTGCTGGGCGATGCGTCCCGGGTGGCTGACCACTTCATCGTTGTGGTTGACATAGGTGGTCCGGAAGTTGATGAGGATGTCCACGATGAACATGACGTCCACCACCAGGTCCACTACGTTGAGAGGGTTGCACGTGTAGCCGCACGTCCGCCGCCGATCCTCCTCCACCTCGTTGAGAAGAAAGGCGGCCGAGTAGGGCGTGAAGATGGCCGTGTAGATGACCAGCAGCAGGATGAGCCAGTCCCACATGGCCTTGAAGGGGCTGTAGTGCAAGATGGTCCAGCGGTGGATGCGCGGGGCTTGCAGCTTGTACTCGGGAAGCACGTCAGCGCCCAGCGACAGAACCTTACCGCCAAGAAAGCCATTCATTAACACCATATAGGCTCACTAAATTAGGTACACCTACTTGCACACTGTCTAAAACCAGGACCACTTTCACCTGCTGCTGTCCCGACCATATGACCCGATTTTGGTCCTGACAAGCAGTAAGTGATGCACAGGTGGATCCATAAAGGGCCCCTAGTATGTTACAGGGCCCTGAAATGAATTGAAATGTAGAGAAACGTCAATCTAACAGGTCACTAACATGTTAACCCTTTCATGCAACCTGTAACCTGATAAACTGTCCAATGGATTAACCGTTGTCCCCAAAAGGGTTAATCATGCGAAATTAAGTGGTTCGGGGATTTTGAGGGATCTGGGTCAACTAAATCACATATTTAGGCCATTTAAGACCAAGTCAGGTGAAGTTATGAATACATGATAAGAAATGACAATACATGATGAGAAAGGAGGGACATTTTGCATATCTTGCAACAAAGCCGAAACTCCATTTGAGCAAATAGACCATGGGCAAAAATGCCCAAAACAACAATTTCGAATATGAAACTAGTGTCAGCAAACCCGAAAGAACAATTTAGACAAGTCGTAAATAGGGGACAAAACCAGGGCTGCCTATTCCGATCAGATATTGCCTCACTATAGAGGGCTCCGTCCTTTTAGCAATTACCCACAATGCACTACCGGCGGCCATATTGGAAGGCTGTTATAAACAAGCCATACTTGTTTATAACAAGCCATACTTGTTTATAACAGCCCTCCAATATGGCCGCCGGTAGTGCATTGTGGGTAATTGCTAAAAGGACGGAGCCCTCTATTACCCTCTACTTAACGAGTCCCAACAGTGAGCAGTGTGCAATGATCTTAATCCTGGAGAACATTGAATAATTGATCGAAGAGCAAAATGATGTCACTAATATGATATGTAGCAGCTTGCAGTGAGACCGCATCAATCTGATGCTTTTCCTGCGCTGGCCAGGCTACTTTGCATTGTACTTTGCATGATGTCATTCGTGGCGATGAAGCTCAACTGCTGCCTGCGACGCACGTAACTTGTAAATTCTCTCCCAGGAACCACAAGTAGCTTATTAATGATCTGTTCCCACTGGCCGAGCTCCTCGCTGAAAATAACCACCTAGGGAGAGGTCACACGCATTCTAAAATGTGACAGCGAATTCGGACCTTGACTACATTTGGGAACGAAGCTAAAGGGGTCAGCGAAAGGATGTTTCGATGACAGAACAATGCTGGCGTGGGTTTTAAATCTTGTTTAAGCGACACTAGGGGGAGCTGATGGGCCGCTGTGACCTGCTGAACACCATGTGGATGGGCGACATGCTAATGAGAGTGTAAACACAAGGTTCACTCATCCAACAAGTTATCGATGTGCTGTGTTTTGTAATGACCAATAGAAGTCCCCCCCCCCCCGTGTCGCATGCAACCTGTCAGCTCATTATAATTAACATGGCATTCGTTCATGTCTGCATGGGGCTCGTGTTTGATACATGACAGTTTGGGAAAGTACATTTTGAAGGCAAGAAAACTTCCCCAAAAAAGAAATTTGGGGCAAATAAACTGTTGGTGAACAAGTTAAAATAACAGTTTGGACGAGTAAGCAGGGAGCATTGAAGCCCAAATGACAATTTGGGCAAGGAAACTGGTTCCAACAAGATCAAAAACTGCAATTTGAGCCAAGTAAACGGTGGACAACCGAATCAATAAAAACCCAAAAAATTCAGCACGGCGGACAACAAGGCCAAAAGGTCAAATTCAACAAGTAAAATCTGGGCAACGAAGCCGAAATGACAATTCAGGCAAATAAAACAAGGGGAAAATGAAAGGAAAAAAAATAACATGGATGAGCTGACGTGGTCACATGACAACAACATGCCCTGGCTTCCTGTTCCTCACTTGTCAGCTTCATATAGAAACGAGGAGCATCTGAAGAACACCTTAGCAGTAAGTAAATGGTGTAAGTGTGTAGTTATGAAAAAATAAATAAAATCACTCACAGGCTGTAGTTTCTGCTTGAAGCTCATGTTGACACGTACTTCATGCTAACCAGAGAGAGAGAGAGAGAGAGAGACAGCAACCTCCGTCCGTCCATCTACATCCCTCCCTCAACAACATTCCTCCCCCCTTTGCTTTCTCTCCGTCCCTCTCTGGCCCCCTGCGTTAGGCCCAGCCCAGATTTAAAAATAAAGAAATAAATAAATGGCCTCTGTGTGGCATTATGTCACCACAATATGATACATGACAAAATGAGGTGATACATTGTGGGCGAAAAAAGTCAAAAGTAACATTTTAGACCTTTCCGGGACAGCGGTTACTACAGTGGACAGCTTATCAGGTTATGAGGTGGATGAAAGGGTTAAACAAGAAAAACGGTTGACGATAAAGCCAAACAAGGAGGCAAAAAATAAATACAATAAAATTGGGTACAACACAGCCAAAACGACCATTTGGGGAGGTAGACCAGGGGGCGACAATTCAGCCAAGCTGGCATGTAAATGTTGGGCAACAAAGCCCAAACTACGACAAGATAAGTACACTGGGGACAAGGAAGCCAAAATGACACTTTAGTCAAGTAAACCGGGGCAGCAAAGCCAAAAACAACAATTTGGGTCAATAAACTGTGAACAGCAAAGCCAATATGACAAGTCAAACTCATTTTTTGTCACGGGGCACATTGTAGTTACAATTTCCCTTGGAGGGCCGTTATGACTGTGAATTTTGTAAAACGCGGCACCCCAAGCCATGGGGTGCCGCGCCCTCACACACACATACACGCACGCACACGCGCGCACGTACGCGCACACATAAATCCGGGCGTTCCTGCTCGATCACGCCATTGCAGACTAATCCATAGTGGCGAGGATCAATGGCAACCTTCATTTCTCTTTTGTAAGGTGCCAATCGAAACTCAATTAAGCAGCCGACAATTTTTTATGGCGCGACGCCACAACATCCGACGTAAAGGCAATTTTTTTCATCGCCGTTTTCACCGTGAAGCGGCCATGTTTCAGGAGTGGAGAGTTCGCCTGCAAGGTGGGTACATGGAAACGCTGTCCTCCATGTCCATTAGCTCACGAGGCCAAGGTCACTCACTGCCAACCGGCCAGCCAGCCAGCCAGGCAACGCTACTCGATGGGCACACACAGATGTCACACTCTTATCTCGCTTTTTTTATATATATATATATATATATCAATGTTGGAAAGCAAACAAAACCAAAAAATGACAGTTTTTGGCAACTGACCTTGGGGTAGCAAAAGCCAAACGGGCAAGTAAAAAAGGGGATATAAACCCAGATTGACAAGAAAAATGAGGGCAACAAAGCCAAAACAAGTTTGGAGAAGTAAAGTGGGCGACAAAGCCAAAGTGACAAGTAAACTGGGCCAACGGAGCTAAAGTGACAATTTACCAAGGTTACAAAGTCAAATTGACAGTAAACGGGGCGACAAAGCCCCGCCCAAAAAATAATAAATTGACCAAGCGCACTGGAGGTAACTATGACAAATTGGGTTCAAGGAGATCAAATTGAAAAGTAAACTGGTAGCCCAAAAAAAAATAATAATTATCATAATAATTTCAATCGACTCTGGGGCAACAAATCCAAATCGACAAGTAGGCCAGGGCAACAAAGTCAAGTTTGGAAGTAAACAAAAGGCAACAAAATCAAATTGGCAGTTAAACCGGCCAACAAAGCCAAACTGACAAGGGGAGGCAACCGAGCCAAACAGAAAAGTAAACAAAGGTAATTTCATGACACAGAATCTCCGAGAAGCTCTGGGCGACATTTTTCTTTTTCTATCCAACTGACATCCAGCTGCTTTCCTCGGAGATTATGAGAGCTTTCCCTTTGTCGAGGTGCTTTTTGACACCGCGGCGGCGATGTGGAGGCGACACGGTGTGCACAGCGTGAAGACGCATGTCACACCTCAGGTGAGATTATTTCTCCCCGCGCGTCATCCGGCGTCCCTGCCGAGTAGCCCGAGGCGGCCCTCCATTTATAGACACACTTGTGTGTGTGTGTGTGTTTGTGTGGGTGTTTGCATATGTGAATGCAGGAGAGCAGTGATACTTAATGACCTCAACCTGTCACAAACACACACACGCGCGCGCGCACGCACGCACGCACGCACGCACGCACGCACGCACGCACACACACACACACACACACACACACACACACACACACACACACACACATATATACACCGGGAGGAAAAAGCAAGTGAGAGTGAGAGTTGTTCTCACAGTAGGTAGTGGAGGAGCAGAAAGTCGAAATATAAATGTCACTTGCACCTCCAGCTCCAAGATAAACGATAATGAGAACACGAAAAAAAAAAAACCCTCAGCCAAGGCTAGAACATTTGTCCCCTGCCAAATCACCGAATGTAGGACCTTAAAAGGTAAAAGCAGCTCAAACTTTGATTCAAAAGGGGACAACATGTAATATAAACAAGCAGTTTGATGATTTTTGATGTTGTGATTACACTGTGTTTAAATGCTTAATCTGGATCCAATCTGGACTAAAATTTTTGTTTTGCAAATTTCCCCACTGGGGAAGTAATAAATATTACCTTAAATTATATTAGACTAGGTTGTAAAAAAAAATGTCTAAAAAACATTGATTTACTGAATTACTTCTTTCCATTGGATTTCACATGTTGCGTTTACACTGTCGTAAATGCTCAATCCGGATCAGATCTGCACTAAACTTGGTGTGATATTCTAGATAAAATCGGAAGAACAACCAAGGAAGGCCAAACAAGGAAGGTATCCTGTTAAGTAGAAAAACACCGATTGCACTTTCAGTCAGTGTTCAACCTGGATCAGATCTGGATTACAATTTGGCGCAATATGACAGTTTACACAAAGCAAATTTCTTTGACACAAGATAAGATTTGAAACGGACACAGAATATTGCCAATAATAAAGAAAGACAAAGAAATAAAATATCTCATTAGCCTGGAAGCATAATTGGCTAAATCAATTAAAAAGAAAAAAGAAAAAAAGTGCTTGTGAAAAAATTTCTGAAACCCTTTAAATAGTATTTATAATATCCAATCATAATCTCCCTGGTGGAGGAAAACAAGGACTTCTGATCTCACCTGTGTTACCTGCGTCACCTTCTCAGTAACATTCTGTGTTCTGTCTTTGACTTTGCTGGGCGCGATGATCTCAATCTCGCCGGGCGACGGGGGTCTGACGCGGTCCGAGCCGAAGGTGAGCGTCACCTGCGGGATGCGCCCAATAGCCCGGTGCCTCATCAGGTCCGAGTCCGAAGTGGAGTTGGCGCCGCTCGGCTTCAAATCTGCACAAAAGCAAAAAAAAAAAAAAAAAAGTGTCTTTGGTGTTGCTTTTGTTCTTCTTTTCTCCGTGTGAGCGTACTTCGTTTTGTTCACATCTTAACGAGTGCTTCTACTGTCAGACTCACTGCTGTTAGTCCGGGCATCTCCGAGCCGAGGGCTCAACTCTGTTTTCATCCCGTCAATGTCGTCGAGAGACGAGGCCCGTCGCAGGCTGCGCATGCTTTCCCGCGAGCTGCTTCGAGATATGGTCCCCCGAGGTACCGGCAGGCCCGGCAGGTCCAGGCGGTCCGTCAGCAGGGAGCGGCGCTTGGCGCAAGACTGGGCGGCGAGTGAGGGAGGATCCAGGTCTTGCTCTATAAGGGCCTCAGTCTCGGACTGCATACAGCTCTCTTTAGACGGGATGCGGAAATCCTTCAGGGGGACTTCCTCACTGTTGGGCTTAAAAAATGATTTTTAAAAAAAATATTTCATATATATACACACACACACTTATAGCTGAATGGATTGTTTTCAAAAAGTTTTGAAAGACTAGTGAGCGTGAGGCAGCAAGAAAAGGAATGTGTGTGTATATGTGAGCGTGTGTGTGTGTGTGTGTGTGTGTGTGTGTGTGTGTGTGTGTGTGTGTGTGTGTGTGTGTGTGTGTGTGTGTAAATGTGTCTGCCGTGACAGAGTGTGTTTCCGGATTGGTCGCTCATGGATCCTGTCAGGAAGTGATATCCTTCAAAAAAAAACACAGCGGAGACGTCCAAACACGAGCGAGCGGCTCGTTTGTTTTTCATTTATCTCTTTGATGGCTTTTTCCCCTTTAAACAATTCCCCGCAGCTGTAGAAGGGCCCTTTCACATGGGATTTCATGTGAGGGGACCACAAAAAGGAAGCCTTTGTTGCCTCTGAATGATCACAGTGTTGTTGGTTTTTTTTTTTAAACAGTAAAAATTGAGCATGATTAAACATATGACAATAAAGTTGTACTTGACTTGATATTTATTGCATATAAAGTTCTCTTACCTGCAAGTAGTCCACCACTACACCCTCAAACTGATCTTTGGAGAGCGACTGCCGCCGCATAGGGCGCAACACCGGCAGTCGCATCTTCAATCTGCGATTCTGACCTGAGAAAGACAATCCACAGTGAACAATTAATTTTTTCAAATGCTTCAATATGAAACAGTTGGTGCATCATGATTAATGAATTGCAGCACCTTCGGTTGTGCGTGACATGGCCGCCAGGGGGCAGTGTAAAACACAAACACTCCACAATTGTCAGCGACTACGTGAGTTTCAATAATATTTCACAGAAGATAAAGAATATATGCCTGTGAGTATTGCGATAGTGTCTGTGTACGTGTGCTGATGCACCATTTGTGTTCAAATATCCATGAAAGTGCTCACAGTAGAGCCAGCCTTGACTGACTCGCTGCCTGAATCCGGACTTCTTGAGCAGCGGGTCGACGAGCTCCTGGAAGTCCAGGATGAACATGATGACGACGCCTTCCTCGTTCTTCACTGGAACGATGTCCACCATGCACGGCCTGCACGTGCCTGTCATTTGATGGCATTGTGTACCAGTTTACACGGGAGGGACGAAATCACATTTGTGCAAGTCACAAGCAAGTCTCAAGTCGTAACCTTCAAATTTCACGTTAAAATTAAAATAACTTTCGCAAGTGATAAAGGAGCTATTTGACGAGAAGATGGACAGGTGTTTTGGTACCTTCCTTGGCGTAATAGAGGATCTCCACCTTGCGCTCCTCAGAGCCGAGGAGGGCCTGAGCTAGCTGCGCCAGGGCGCTCTTCATGGTGCCGGGCCCCACCAGGAACTGGCATGTGCATGGCTGCTGCATGATTTCGGCCCGCGTGAAGCCGAACATCTGACAGAAGGCCTCGTTGCAGAAGATGATGCCACAGTTCTTCATCTGCGCATTGGCAATCACAAACTTGCGATCTGAAACGACCATGTGGACCAGGTTTAGCATTAGCCACTCCAAGGCTTTAAAGATCAATTATGAACTTAATGTGTCACTCATGTCAAGTACAAGATATTCACTTCGCTTGTCCAGTAACAACACAATAGGTCGGCTCGCTATTAATACAGTCAACAATCATGTGGAGTGGAACTAATGAAGTGGAGCTTTCCAGGCTGCTTAGCATCACAATGATTCCTGAGAGACCGCAACGGAGCAGCTGAACACTTAACAGAGGGACTTGTGTGGAAATGTCAACACTTCTGTATACGTATGCTGCACGTTGCTATTTCAGTACTATACAGTTAATTCAGATTAAAACGAGGCATTTGATCTTCATAATACAATATTGGATTTCAAAATGATGATGTTACCATTTGTGCTTGAGTTCTGTTGTGGGAAAAGCTCGAGAGTATATATATATATATATATATATATATATATATATATATATATAATATGTATATATAAAATACACTGTATCCCCAGCAGGTGAGCGCGGTGCCTAGCAACCGCTAAGTGACAATGGAGGGTTTCAAAGTGCCAGTATGTGGAACAGAGGAACATGTGATGTAGCTCCGGAGGCACAAGGGGATTGCGGGTAACCAGAGTGACATCGCAATCAAAGGCGAGTACATCTCGGTCGTGTTCATTGAAGTCGGCGGTTAAAAGGCTCCAAAACAGAGCTGGCCAGCGCCGATTCGGCCGCCTGTGTCGCGCACACGTCTGCCTTTAAGAGCGGCTGCGACGTTAGCATTAGCTTACATTACTTATATCAAATATTTTGATGATGTTTGAACTGTGTTTGAAGATGGGACATTCCTTTGGAATCTTGGCAATACCACTCGTTATTAAATTGCAGCCTAATTTCTAATCATGGAAAATTTGTGTGAGCGACTAGGGTGTGCTATGACTTTTTTTTAGTCCTGACACTTAACTGCTTTTAACCCTTTCAGGGACAGCGGTCACTACAGTGGACAGCTTATCATGTGATCAGGTTACAGGGTGCATGAAAGGGTGAAAAAAATACAACATTTGATTTTGTCGGGAAAGGAGATCGAAAGTTGAGTCTGAAACAGAAAAGCAATGATGTGATGGTATCGTCTCAGCCAATCAGATTGTCGTGATATCACACTGTAAGTTTTATGACATGCTGTGATGTGTTAACCGGCGTCAGAGTCAACAATTCATGTTTTTTTTCCCTTCATCTTTTTGGTAACTTCTTCACTTCAGCATTGAAGAGGAGTGACATTCCAAAATAAATGCAGACACAATTCAAAACAAAACGAATGTCTTGATCTAGAGCGGTGCACTATTACTTTTGTTCCTGTCCTGACACTTACGGCTTTCGAAAAATTTAACGCGCAAAGTTCAAAGAAAGAAAAATGTGTCTCATATTTTTCTCAGTCCTGAGAATGTTGAGATATTTGAGTTTTCCTTCATTTAAAGGGGACATACATGCAATTAACATTAAACAAGATATGAGGTTTAAGATCAGAATTAGGTTGTAAAGATTCACACGTTCAGTGACTTACTTTGCTCGTCGAATTTCCTGATGATGGTATCGAGGTAAGTGTTCTGGAGGGCAACGTGACCGCGTCTCACCGGCATCTTGACAGCGACGATGATGAAAACACATCAAGCTTCTAAATCAGCATCGGGAAGCGCCGAATTTAAAGTCAAATTAAAAGAAGTGCACGTGCAAAGCTGCTGAGGGATTGGGTTGCTGATGCTGCCTGGAGAATGATGATCTTGATGATGAAGGTTGTTTGCCACAGTGACAAGGGAAGCTGGTTGTCACGCGCTGAGTTAAAAATAAAAAAGGAGGAAAAGTTCACTAAAGTACAGTTTAATTTCAGAGACTTGAGCTGCAGTTAAAAATGAAAAAAATACATAAAACGACAGGAAGTTTTCGCCTTTTGTTTAACGACATTCTCTGTCAAGTTTGTCCGCTAAGAAAGTGCGCAGAAGAAAGAGAAGCTCATCTCGGCCAAAAATTGGTCCCATCTCCTGTGTGCTGCTTTCCACCGTCCCCCGCGGGTCCTCACAAGCCACCGGCGTCAAGCCAGCAAGTACACAGCGGGGTGGAAATAGCCAGCAGGCAGCCTTTCAAAATAAGAGTTTATCAGGGTTGATCGCTCGATCTCGTTTGAGACCCAAAATGCGTTCTGAGCATATATGGATCCAGAAAACGACCCTACAAAATGAATACAAGTTGAACATCGTTTCAAATTCGTTGTTCGTCTCTACATGCTCGTAGTGTAGAAAAGAGGTACAGAAAATGGATGGATGTCAGGATAATACTGAATGGCCGGATGATGTAAGTAGATGCATATATGAAATGTTTTTACAGGAATTAATTATGAAGAGATACACAATGATTTCGTGCGTGTTCGTGCGTTTTATTGTGAAAGTCTAGATGTGCGGTTGTGTTGGCGGTTTGGCTTGACAGTGGTCCTGTCGGTGACAGATTGCAGACCCACCTCAGTCTGCTTCACTCCATATCACAGCTCTGAAAATAGCAGCATCTTCCACGTGCGCCCCTGCCATCGCACTTGTACCGCGATAAGCCGCCATGTGTGTGCCTGTGTATCAAGTTGAGCACAACAAAAGGAAAACAATGGCAAAGTTTTTCACCTTCAATCCATCCTGATCCCACAGCGACACTCACTTAGCATCCCGGTGGCATTCTGAAATAGAACAGACGCTCTATGAAAGGTCGCTGACAGGAGAGGGAGATGAACATTTTCTCACATGTGTGCAGCATAGTTAGCTTAGCTTAGGCTAATTAAAGTTATTGGCGAGGCCCATTGTGTTTCCCTTAATTTTTTTGTCCTCTAACCCGATAACATTAGCTCACATCTAATTTCGTAGTCCAAAAAGGTTGTCTGAAGTTGAAAATGTTGGTGCATTGGGCCATTGTTTTATAAGTTACATTGTCCAGGTCTAAATTTCATCTGTTTAACATATTTAGCTTAGCATCCTCTTGTGTTTCAGGTAACACAAAATTTATTGTCCTGTAACACGTGTTACACTATAGCTAAAGCTAAAAACATTGGATCATGGAAGTCCAAAAGAATTCCCGCCTGCCATGTCCGTCTTGGAATGTTTGTGACTTTTGTCGTCCTTCTCGCCTACATGGCGGTCTGTCAACACCTCACAAACCAAAACGCACCATCCAGACACCCCTCGCCCCCTGTTTCACCTCTTGCCCGCTGGACCTGATGGGAACCAAAACGTTTGAACGGACTTGGAGACTTTTTATCAGGATGGAATTCCTTCAGCACCATCGTCGCCCTGAGAGACTTCATTCCTCTGATAAGAGCTGGACACAATACGTACAACTGTACTCTAAACATACACACATGAGTACAGAGTGTCTTATTCGTTTGTTATCGACTTTTTTTTTTTTTTTTGCGGTTGAAGATGCAGGTAGTTTCATGCAGGAACAGATTTCGAAAGGGGGAAAAATTGTCCTGGCGTCCAAGGAAGCATCGTACCAGATGCCCAAGCCACTTCACCTGGCTCCTCTCGATGTGGAGGAGAAGCGGCTCGACTCTGAGCCCCTCCTGGATGACACTTGAAAAATGAGATGCAAATGCCTTAAATATTATCGCTCTGTCACCATTTTACAAATAATGCTTTAGTTTACTTTTGACATTGGTTGACTTATTTTTTTACTTGTATAGCAATTAAGAATGCCCAATTTCTATTTAAACAGTGACGGTTGCGCAACAGCATGATTTTGATCTAGGACCAAATTTCTGCTTCGTGTTAGAAAAACATGACCAAAAAAAAAAACAAGTGTGTGTGTGTGTGTGTGTGAGTGTGTGTGTCACAGCAAAGCAAAGATTGTCTTTTGGTTGTGTCATGATGAGCCGCAGCACAGAAATAATCATCCTCTATTCATACCTGGCAAGAGACACACGAAAAACGCCTCCTCAGTTTTCACATGGGAGGGTGATTGGGGGAGTCTTTACATGAAGCTTCAAATAAAACTAGCGTCACCATGGCCACAGCTACAGACGGAGCAAACCTCTCATTAGCGGTTGTGGATCACTATAGTCTCCCTTCTTTCTATCTGCAGACTGTCAAAAAAGATAAGCGCTAACGACCACCATATTATGCCCTTCGATGTCACGCCACACTTGAACATACGCAGTCCACGTCAATCCCGCAGCTCACTTTCATGCCATTAAAAAAATACAACACGACACATTTTAGACATTTTCCCCCAAACTCTCTTTTATTCTGGAAGGCACTTTGTGTACGTAAGGACATTAAAGTCCGTTAAACTCTGCTTTCTGTGAAATACATTTTGACGTTGCACTGCAAGTCCCGTCATGATACAACATCGCTAAACAGAAACATAAATGAACATTGTCTAATAACGTCTAAACTAGCTCATGCTCATTTGTTCACCCCACTTGTTTTCCCAAGCATTTAGCTTCCCCATTCAATCATTTGTTAAAACATTAGGTACACCTGCAAATAACATCCAATACAACAACCGTCAGGGGGGAAAAAAAAGCTATAAATAATTATGCTTTGAATGATTGTAATATTTTGACACAACTGGCTAATCAAAATATGAGGAAGAGTCTTTGCATGACCAACCGCAACAAAAATAAATTGACACCTGATATAAATTCTATATCTACACACAATAAGATTCCGTTTATTTTATTTGTATAAATATTAGTCTAAAATAAAATACTTTTTTTTGTTCTTATTTTTGCTTCCTGTTACTGTAGCTGTCAATAGCTTAGTTAAAAAAAAAAAAAAAAAAAACTTACATGGCGCAGGTGTACCTAATGTTGCGGCTGATGCCTGGACACCGCCCATTGGTGAACAAAGTCGTCATTTGGCTCAACCAACAAACCTCGACATGCTTTTGAATTATATCTGAAAAGCAAGAAGAGAAATGTCATTTTAAATGTCAATTTTTAACCATGTCTAATCTGAAAGTAGAATAATTTTTTTTTTTGTCTGTGCCCCCAAACAGAACCCGGCCAGCCAGAGTTTGTTTCCTGCGTGTACATAAAAAAAAATTATTGAAGAAAAAAAAAGATTTATTTTATTTTCTTGGGAAGGGGGCGCACATTTGCAAAACCAGCTGCTTTCTACCCATTCTTTGTCAAAACAACACCAACTGGAGTATAAAATTCGATAAAAAAATATATATTCCAGGTGAAGTGGCACAAAGGCATAAATTAAAAAAATATATATAAATAAAATCACATTGGACGTAAATACAAAACTCATAGATGACATTCAATTTTTTTTTTAAAAAGTGCATCTGATTAGATAACAATTGACTGTTAAAGCTTTGTTCTCAAGGCCGTTGTGTTTGAAACACTGAACTAAAACGTATAAAACCAAACAATCATCAGCCTCTCGTTTAGGTCACATGAGTTGACGGCCTCAACTCTTGATGTTGCACACTGCATCCAGCAAGAAGGGCGACAACAGTCACTTCCTGGTTACAGGGCTCAAACAACCTACTGCCTTTTCCAACACGACACAAGCCCTGAAACACAATCAATCAATCAATCAATCAACCAACCATGCACCCATCAATGGCAGTTACTGCCTAACCACACACTTTCTTAGACAAACCCGACAACTTGCGTTTCTTCCCCTCATACTTGACACCATCTTCAAAAGATCTTACAGTACAATATTCCAACAGCTATGTGGACAAATGTTTTGGGGCACATCTCAATTAATGAGTCATCTTTCGAAACATGTGAAAAGCAGACATTGAAAGCCCACCCCAGGCTTAAAATGCTCATTTGAAACCTTATTTGAAAGCAATAACCCTACCTCGAAACCTTAACCCTTGTTTGAAACGAAAAACCTTAACATGAAACCCGAATCGAGGAAACTCTAGCATACGAGTGGACATGCGTCCCAACACGTTTATTCACACGGTGTGCTAAAACTTTCAAGGACACCGTTTTGAATTCACCAGTCGGGTGCATGACACCGCTGTGCAACACGGTCCAACCGAAAGAGGGCCAACGTCATCATCGTTCCGCGCCAACTCATGAAGGCTCCTGCGAACGTGGCCTGCACATTGGAAGCTGACCGAAAAAGAACCAGCAACGGTGTTTGTTGTCCACACCGCACAAACGACTTTGGTAACGCCGCGCGCTCCGTCCAGGCTAGTCGCGCGAGAAAGAATGTCTGAGCAGCTCTTCGGCAGAGGGCCGTCGCGCGGCCTCTACAAAGATGCGGCGGACAAAGTCGTGCGCCTGCTCGGAGGTGCGTGGCGGCAGCAGAGGCTTGGTGGGCTGCGTGGCGATCTTGAAGATGGCCGCCATGGCCTCGTACTCGGCCCACGGGGGTTTCTCCGTCAGCATCTCCACCACCGTGCAGCCCAGACTCCTGGAAAGACACACACACACACACACACACACACACACACACACACACACACTCTGGTACTTTGGTTTGAAATCTCCAATTTAAAAAGCTTAATCTAGGCTTGAAGTCACATTGCAGTGCCAAACCCAACCTTAAAACCCTACTTTGAAACGCTTACCCAGCTTGAAAATTTTAACTTTAAAAACCCTAACCCAGGCTTAAAACCATAACTTATAAACCAAGACCTTGCTTGAAACCATGCGCCTGGTATGAAACCCGATTCTAAATTATAACCCCAACTCTGTCTTTAAACTCTAACCCTGTCTTAAAATCCCAATTTCAAACCATAACCCCGGCTTGAAATCCTACTTGAAAAACCCAAAGTTAGATTTCAAACCTTAACTGCATTAAAAACATGGACTCACCAGACATCGGCCTTCCTGCCATAGCCTTCCCCACTGATGACTTCCGGGCTCATCCAGTAGGGGGTGCCGGTCGCCGAGCGGATGCCAGTTCCGGACATACAGATGGTCTGCAGACGCTTGCTGGCCCCAAAGTCGCCCAGCTTGACGTTGCCCTCAGAGTCCCGCAGAATGTTGGCTCCTTAAAATCAAACGTACAGATAGACTTGAGTTTTTGATTTTTTTTCTTGAAGGCTAAGATGAGAGACTTACTATTGGCCCATGTGTGACTTCCCCCGACCCCTCTTTCGAAACAAAACGGCTTACCTTTGATGTCTCGGTGCACGATCATGTTGCTGTGGAGATAGCACATCCCCTCCAGGATCTGACGGGTGTACTTTCGGGTTACGCTCTCCGTCAGCGCCCCGTAAGACTTCAACTGGTCTTTGACAGAACCCTGACAGGAAGCAAGACCACGTCTTGGATTCATTGACAAACCTGGAAATTTCTCTGTGAACTCGGACTATTGTGTGTTTTAAGTGTAGTTTCAGGGTCATTTATTGGCACTGACTGTGAAAGTGGAAGGATTATGAACGAAAAGTTTAAGTGGAAACTTTTTGCAGGCTCAGCACCCCCTTTTTGATTGGAGTTTACTGCCCTGAACATCTACATGCGTAGAGACCAAAACCACGACAGTCAGTTTTGATGTCAGGCCATACTGGAGTCCTGGAATGAAGTGCCCCACCTTGGTCCTATCGATTGTATTGAAGCGGAGCTCCTGTGCAAATTGGAGCCTTTGGAGAAACCAAGTTCTTGGAACTGCAGGTGGAAAGGTTTCTTTCAAAAGGCACATTTTGACCACTGCAACTTTACCCTGGAACTGAGAACTTTTAGAAGACCATTGTGTGTTGGACTTTTGTAACTACTGTCTAAGATCCATGTCGTCTTTATTTCGCTAGGTTTTGGACAAGCCTCAAAGTTGGCTCAGGTACACATTTCCATTTTCTGTACCACTTATCCACTGATCGCGAGTTGAAACATTTGCTATGTAATCCGAGAATGGATGTTGGACTCACCCCGGGCATGTACTCCATGAAGATGGTGAGGGTCCTCTCGTTGTGGTCCCTCAGGCAGCCGTAGTACTGCACGATGCGCTCGTGGCGAAGGTTCTTCAGCAACTGGATCTCACATTCCAAGGCGCTGACCTCCTGCAGGGACCCCAGCAGACGTTGAAACAAAACCGAAATACGACAAGATGAACAATCACTGAATCGTTTGAATGAAAATTTGGACCTGGAGGCAAAGTGGATGACGGGGCAATGATGCACCGGAGCAACAGGTTTAGCTTTTTTTCCCGAAACAGGAAATGAAAAAAATGTGAAAGCAGGAAGACAGCACTGAATGAGTCTAAACGAATGGGTATTTATGAGAGGTACAGGAACCTCAACATTATTTAATTGGAACCTCTTTGTTGCAGGAACTAAAATTTCCTGTAATTTTAAATGGAAATTGAGCTCAGGAACTATTGTCGAAAATCTCCTTCCGGGGTATTTTTGTTTCTGGTCTCAAAGAATAGCCTCCTGCGTCGATAGTGCTTTAGTACCTTTTTGGTCCAGGAAGTACAAGCACCAAAATCTCACAGTTCCTGGAACTTTAGGTGGAAAGGCGCCTTTTGACCACAGGAACTTTAACTCCGACAAGAACTCGGAACTAACGTATGACGCAACAGTCATACAAATGTAAAAAATAAGCCCTTCTCACCTTGCTTGTCTCGGGACTGTCAGGATCAAACTGGACCTGCTTGGCGGCTAGCTCCCGTCCCGTATCCACGTCGTAGCACAGGTACACTCTCCCGAACGCCCCCTGGCCCAGGAGCTTGCCCCGCCGCCAGGACACAGGAGCAGTGGGCGCTGGGAATCCCAACACGAAGCCCGTTCCTCATTTTGTTTCCAAAGCCTGACTGATGATGTCATACGTACATTTATGGGTGACGACGGGGCGTTCTTGTGGTCTGAGCCTGCCCTGGGTGTCCACCAGCTGCCAGCTGCCGATGCTTTCTTCGCTGCCGTTGAGCGAGCGGCGTGAAGGCACGAGGGTGAAGAGGTTCCCCTGCGGGCGGCGGATGCGGGGAAAGGTGCGTCGTCCTAATGGCGAGAAATAACAACGCGGTGGTTTGAACGAAGTGTCGCCGCATGATGCGGTGGTTGGTGGTTGAAGGTACCTTCGCTGAGGTCCTTGTGGTGCAGCGAGATATGGTAACGGCGAGGGTACGAGCCCCCCTTGCCGACTATGCGGTCATAGACGTGGTTCTCCCTGTCTGGAAACAAAGCGGAAAGGGGGATTAAGAAAAAGACCCCCCCCTGTGGTGGACAAGCATTTATGCTCAAGGGCTGCATTTGTTTTTTTTTTAAACTGAAGATTGTGCCAGCTGATTTGCATATGAGGTTGAAAAAAAACAATTCTTCGTTGTAGTAATTATAAAATAATTTTGAACATTTTATCTGTATTAATTTTATTCTTCATATATTTTAAGTCATTTTTTTCAAATTTATTTAAAATAATTTAACCTTATTTAATAACATTAAAAATGTTCATTGGACTGAATATGTAAAATGTTATTTTTACAATAAATGAATCAATTCAATCAAACATTTCCAAGAAATACTGTACCTTCACGCACAATTCAACAAAATAAAAATTGTTAAATGCACTGTGGAGGTAAAATATTTATTTCACTATTTTTATTTTACTATTTACAGCAGATGACCCAATCATATAATCAAATTTTTTAAATGTATCTTTGTTTTTATGTTTTACCATTTCCCTTTTTATTTTTAACAATAAATAAATTAACTCATTCAGTACTAGCCAATTCTGGACCAAGTCTGAAAAGACGTTTAAAAACGTCTTTGGGAGTGAATGAGTTAAGAACAAAAACCTCATTTGCTATATGTACCAAGCCAAATCTTTTTTAAAATGTTGCGGCTTCTCACCTGAGAACTCTTGTCTGTTGTCAGGATAACTCTTGGCTCGGTGCATGCGAGACTTCCTTGTGGAGGGGCTGCCGGGACAGAAGAAAATATGAAGACGTCCGCCAAGGCTTAAACCCTTTGTCCCCAGTGACATCAACAAAGGAACACGAAGGGATCGCGTGAAATGTCGCACAATGTTTCAGCGTTCCAATAACCGTTATGCATGATGTTAGCATGTTGTGCTAAACCTGAGATCTCTTGCTTTTTCTTTGGCTTCTTGTGAGACACCCCCCAAAAAACAGGAGCGGTTGTCTTGTTTTCATCTCTGCCGTTTCATTGTTGTTGTTATTTGAAACGACTTAACCAGCAACAGAGAGGCTTGAAATAAACTTTCAATATACATCGATGGTAGCTTCGAGGAATGCCAACCTGTCTGAGTTACTATTCAGAGACTGACAGCTTCCAGACACAGAGTTTTCAGCGCTGCTCCAGGGATCCAGAACCTGCATGGGAAACAAAACAACATTCCGATAACACTCAAAGTCATCACACTGCGGAAATTGAACCGCTGCAATCACACGATGACATTAAAAGCGGCATATTATCGAAAAGGGCTTTTCGACTGCTTGTATAGAAACAAAAATTAAATACGGAAATAAACAAACCATGTTCAAAACAAAATACAAATTAACACTTGCTATTTCAGTTAAAATATAGCCTAACTTAAAGAGGTTTGGGGGGGGGGTGACTTATTTGGGCTTTACTGGGGGTATATTTGTCTGCTGCCTCCATGAGGGAAAATACAATCTTAATGGCTCAGGAGATTTGTTAGGTGAAGTAAAAAAAAGTTTTCATTTGTATTTAAAATATGCAAAAGAGCTTCTTTTGTTTTGCTGGAAAAGAAATGAATAAACACATTTGAATACATGGACTCACACTCTGCTCGCTGGTCTCTGGGATGAATTCGCCCTCGCTGTTGATGCTGGTGTAGGAACCTTGGCGGGCGATCCTCTGTTGGCATTCCGGCACGTAACCGGGAGGTGGCGAGCTGCGCCCCGCATTCTGGGAACCTGTTCATCCAAATGGGAAACAGCAGAGGAAAAATAACATGTCATTAAATGAAATGCACTTGGCAAGCCGTGAAATCAATGTTTTAGCAGCCTGTTGCGGACTTGTGTGTTTTGACAGCTTTTCACTCGATGATATAAAGCATGTATTGACTCGCGTCTCCGCGCGCAGCAACTTACCGGCGGATAGATGGCACCCCCTAGGCTCCGACGACGAGTATGTAGCACTGACGTCTCCGGTGGACTGTGAGGCTTTGATTCGGACCTGCTTGCAAGGCACATGTTGGGATGGCGAGGGGGGCTGTAAGATGAAAATCAGGTCGTTTAAAATTCAACTTGAATCGTGTGGAGGCGGTAGCAAGACTTGGAGATGCCGCTCACTCGGTCAAAGAAAATGCACAGGCGATAGACAGCAGCATTTTCTTGTTTCTAATATTTTGCGGGCGCCCAGAGGACATGGTGCATTTGAAATGATGACACTTAGGTGTTATTCAATAGCCAGATAACATTAGTACACTTAGCTACAGCCACTTTTTTTTCGCAAAAAGCTTTAATATCACATTGATGTAGTTGTTTGTAGTTTGAAATTAGCATTCCAAAATGAACGCGAGACGTCTATCTGAAGACAACCATTTGCATGCTAAGCTCTGCTGGGCCACAGAAAACGACCTGGTGTGCTGGTTTCGGCCAACAGGCCTTGATTTTGACAAAGGTTGCTTCGGGGCTTTGGAAACGCATAAAAATGTAGTTGTTAACACAGATAGTCGTTGCCAAGTCAGTTTTCACAAGTGTTGTGAGGTGATGAAACAACAGTGCCGCAATGTCGTGTTGTAAAGGCCTGCCCAGTACGCGTTTGCCTCACATTGTCGTGTTCCTGTTCGAGCAGCAGGATCCGGATGCTCTTCATGTTCGCGCTTCGGTCCAGCAGGTCTATGGCCTTGTCCAGATCATCCTGCCCTCGCAGCGGGATGGACAACTGTCGGGAGGCAAACGGCGCGTCAACAAGGCAACAGCGTGACAACAATAGTGGAGTCGTACCTCGTTGCTCATGTAATGGAAGTCCAGCTGCTGGCCAAAAACCAGCTTGACTTTGCGGTGGATTTCGTCAAACTGTACGGGTCGGCCAAACATCAGGATACTAAAACCAGAGAAGACCAGATTAGAGAATTCCTGAAAGTGCACCCCGGTAATACAAGCTAAGCACAGCCTTCTCCTTCCTCCAAACTGGGCTGAGAAAGGAGACAAATTATGCCATGTTTCATCAACGGAAGGGCTCATAGTATGTAAAATTGACTTTTCAGCACTTGTATAGAAAAATCTGACTGACGCCTCCGCCCAAAAAAGAAATAAAGTGTTCCAATTGTCTATATTAACAGTTTACAACCTCCTTACAACTCACCGCCTCTCACCCGAGAACTCAAACTTTATCCTGACGTCCTCCTGAGGGAAAACAAGCACAAAGCTTTCAGTTAATAGAAAAAAATATTTTTAAAAAATGGTGAAGACCAACCTGTCTATTAGCCTGAGCGGGTGTCTTGAATTTGCTGCCGCCGCTGTCGTACGGCACGATGGGTTGTCGCCGCGTCATCTGCAGGGCCACCAGGTCCTTCATGATGGAGTGAAGTGCCTGTCGTTCATCTGAACGGAGACAAATGAGAGAAACATTTGGTACACCATTTTTTCATTTGAATCAACTTTGTCGCCTTTCTCACAAAACAGAGTATCGCAGTGTAAAACTTCTACATACTACTACGTCTACGTACTCGCTATTCCCTTGCGGACAGCCACCGTTCTCTGCGACGACCTACGAACTCGAAAAGTCTGCTGTTCGCCAGAACAAGGTGAGTTGGGACAAATTCAACCCGGTTGGTGTCCCTTTTGTACCGTCACTGTGGGTAAAAGGTTGGCTTTGACAAGCAGCGTGAAAGGGGCAACAGCTTTTGTCCACTATTGTTGTTTACGGTGGTGTCAACTTCTTTGCATACAATTTCCGCAAAGTCACAGGCAGGACAAAGTGTCAGATACTGGGTGCTCCGGATTATTACCTTTTACACTGTCATTGGCGGCCGGATGCAGTGTGAAAGCCATGAAATCTTTTTCTCTTGCCAAAAAGAGGCGGCACACACTTTTCCCCCGAAAATTGGCTCATTCATGAGCTTGTGACTTCCTCGCAAAAAAAAAAAAAAAAAAAAAGCGAATGTTTGGTGTTAAAATGTAGTCTAGTAACTTTCTGCGATTCCTTCTCATGCAGGCATCATGCCAACCTCTGAAGCTGATAAACGCGCTGGTCGAGTGAAACCTCCCATTCCATGCGAATACCTTTCACACCGTCAATGTTGTGAAAAAGCCGCCTTTCAATGTGTTTTCTCCCACGGTTGAGATTCGGGCAGTTTTTTTTGCCTCGCAGGGAGAATAAACATTTGGTCCTGTGTAGCTTGGACCGACATCACAGTCAGGAGAAGCAAAACTCCACTTCTTAGGGCACGGAAACACGATACTTCACCCGCTGGAGTCTGGAACTGATGCTCCGACGGGGGCTGCAGTTTTGTTTTTTTTTTTTCTTTCCGTGAAAACCAAAAAGCATTTTGGTGAACTGACTTACTCATTGTGGCGACGTTGCGTGGTCTTCAAAGCTTCAGAAGTGCTGCCAGTCCAACTGCGCAAAACACAAAATAACAACATTAGCGTTCAAAATGAGTCTTTTCGGAGCTGTTTTTCCTGCAAGAGGATGTACGCAGACAAAAGGTTATCAGCCAGACGTGCAACAATTGTCAGGATGCGAGAGTGCTGCCATCTTGGCCACGAAAAGCCGACTCTGGCGGGAATGTGACATGATGTAGCTCAACATAAAACGGATGTTCTTAGCATGCGTGTAAACAGGGTTGGGAAAAAAAATAATCATGCCAGCAAGCAGCCAGGCCTGCAAGATTTCAGCAGCGACAGTAGAATCAGGTTATTTTCTGGTAGTGCAGCGGAGAGGACATGAAGCGGGAGAGGCTAAATGCTGGTAATGCAGCAGCCGGTGTAGAAAGAGGGCCAGAATACTTGCTGGGACCACATTTATTGTCATGGAAGTGCAGCAGAGACAGTATGGAGGCCGGATGTCTCTGCTGCAATGCCAGCAATGAGTTTGGCCCACTTCATTTACTGTCTACCGCTGCACTGTCAAGAATTAATCTGGCTCGCTTCACGTACCGTTCACAAAACTGCCAGAATATTTAGTCTCCTGCAATGCCACATATTAGTCTGGCCCACCTCATGTATTGTCTGAATATTACAGTATCATGTGTGTAATTAAAGTTAAGCTTTGGCAGACAGGATAGTTATGACCGCGGAGATGATTATTTCCATGTCCATTTTTTTTTTTTTTAAATGAAAACGTATGAAGGGCATCAGCACCAAGCAACAAGCAGTCAGCCTTCGGCGTAATAATCCCACCACAGGAATGGAGGGCACGTCCTCTTGTGGCCCTTTGCCACGTTGCTTTCAAGCATCCGCCACTTGGCATACATGGCAGCCAAAAGCGAAAGGAAGGTGTTTACAGGGCTTGGAGGTGGTTAGTTCAGGGAATGCAAGGAATTACAAGGCTAGGAGATGCCCGCTGCTACTGGCTGCCTTTGCTCCTGATTCTCATTACCGTCCAAGCGGAAAGTGGGGAATTTTGGATGCAGAAGAGGCAGCAGTTCTACCAGGCCGTGCTGCTATGCCCGATTTATTTTCTTTGTATCACGTTTCCAGGACCGTCGGGGTTAACAAGGATAACACACACACACACACACACACACACACACACACACACACACACACACACACACACACACACACACACACACACAAAACCCCCATTTCTCCCGTGCTGTTTAGTCTGAGGCTGTTTTTCCCAGTTAACGTCATATTCCACCCCTGATATGTTATGACAAGAGTTGTCTTGTTAACGTATTGCGCATGACATCTCATATTGTCACCCTACTATGCTTCAAAGTGTTCTATAACTTTTTGGGGTATGCACAGAAGACGACAACTAGAATGGACAGACCTCCACCAAGTCGCACTATGATGGAACGACAGACTTTATCACTGTAAATGATTGTACAATACACATGAAATTAAAAGAATGCAAAAAAATCTGCCATTTTAATCTTATTTTGATGGTTTTAGTACACAAAGATTCATGTCTTCATACATTTATATCAGTTAACGAATGCTAGAAATGCTAACAAATAGAAAAGTCATTTAATTTTACCACAACCTTTATGACTTCTTTTTACACTTACATTACCGTGAAAGAATGCTTAAAAATTTCGGTATATTGGTACGCAGCAGTTACATTCTTACAATTGTATGATGGTTAACTTATGAATGCTAAAAATGCTAGCATCTCTCGGTAAGACATTTTATTACATTTTTAATTGTTTTATTCTCCAGAAGTTTGCTTCTTTTTGCACTTGCATAAGAGTGAAGCCTTTTGTTTTTAGTTTATTGTATAAGTAAACTACTGATAGTTAAATTGTTACACATATATTTATTCTGCATTTTTATGACAATGACATTGGCCAAGATGTTGGCTGTAGTTCAGGTTAATTTATGCACTTATGCCATGCAAGTGCTGATAGGCAATTTTAGAGGCGTGTTGTTGCGTCATAAGTACGTGACTCCTTACCTGGGTTGTCACACGTGTGTCTTCCCCCCCGCCCGCGTTGACAGGTGACGTCGTGATAGTGCGCGCGCATTCTCCAGATTCAGTGGGCACGGGCACGCGCCGTCAAGCAAAGCGCGTGCGTGCCGGGGGCCATGTTGTTGCCCACAGGGGGTCCTCGGGTCTCACACACGCCAAGTGGTGATTGTTAATTGACAGTTCCCAATAAGGAGAAAAAAAAAAAACAAGGTCACGTGGGTGGTTTAGACGGGAAGTGATCCTTTGGAGGAGCTACGGAGGCCGACATGCTGGGAAAGCATACAAAACACGTTCCGAATAAACATCTGGAGGTGCCCAAATAAGGCGTCTTGTTCAATTACTTTCAAGGAATCCGTTTTAGAATAGAGAAAGGGGTTCAGGGGATGCGTGAGGACGGGAAGCCGAGTAGGGTCAAAATTCATCAAACTTCTGAGCACTTCGGCTTGTTCGTGACTGACTCGACGCCAAATTATTGTCTTTCAACGACAAATACTCGACAAACCTTGGTACAAAGCAAGCAGTCCATCATCGCTTCTCCTGATTAAAACAAAGGTCTAAATCTTTCCAATAGACAACCTCCAACTTCCTGAAAAAAAAGGCATTTCACAACCGGAACTCATTTAGTAGTTTCCAAAGTATTTTGGTAAAGGAGGCCATCGACTTTATGTCCTTGTTCCCCAAAGTGTCGCAAAAAATTGTAGTCCAAAAATTACTTTTAAACCCAAAGGATTTGCGCTTGTTTGTTCGCTACCTAAATGAGACCGAGGGAAGGTGCGGGAGCGCGCAGTTACTTCTTGGATAGTGTATGAACACAAAGGCGCGCACCGCAGCTTGGGCGGAGCAACTGTGACGTTTACCTGTGATGCCTTCGGCAACACTCGGAAATCAGAAATTTCAAAAAATGTGCGAAAAATAAATGCAATGAGACGTTACGCTTGTATGGAGAACTGACAGTGCCAAAGTTAGCTAAATACACATATTAACTGTTTCTTTAATGACGTTTTCAATTATTTCGTTCTTCATTTAACTTTTCAATTTTTTCATTTGTCAATGAAACATTTAATGGCGTAGTTAGTTAATTTTGGCACTTTCAGTCCTCCATAAGCGTCGTCTTCATACTCAGAAATAGCAATAGCAGGAAATCAATACTGGAGTTCGTTTGTAAAATACTGTACATGCATTCATTTGCTCTACTTATGTTGCCTCGATGGACACTCGGAAATCGAACGGCATCAATACAAAGTGATTTAGTTAAAATGTGTCGAGATTAGTTTTGTCAATTCATACTAATTACCGGTAAGAGGAAGTACACATTTTAAATTGTAAATGTGCGATGTCATAACCCTCAATTATAGGCCATTGTGAAAGTAACAAATCAACACCAGCATTTTTTATTTTTTTTCTCCAAAAGCATGTAAAAAAAAAAAAGGAAAGAAAAACATGACAAATGTTCAAAACATCGAGGCGAAGAATGAGGGGCGCTTTAAATGTAATAGAAAGTTAAATAAAAACAAGAGAAGAGAAAGAAGACTGCAAAGTAAAGTCTGAGCGTTCTTGTTTTAAGGCCACCTCAAACCACAGGTCAAATGTGCGTAATGGAAAAAAATAATAAAAATTACATGGTCAAAAAGAGCCATACGTTTCAAAGATAAAAAGCCGAGAGGACAAATTGACAATTTTCATTTTTTTTAAATTCCGTCAATCACCTGACCAGAGTGACGTTCACAGATGCTGTACCTTGGCGACTGACAACCAACAAACAAAACAAAAGACATTTTCCACATAAATGTTGATTTTAAAGCATTCAAGGATTAAAAAGTCATCTCACACACATACAAACTTATGTATGTAACAGCAGAGTTAGAAGTTTTATACATTATTTTGTGGAGGCGTGATTGGGGCTGCTGGTTGAGGGGGAATGTGGAGTGAGTAGTCTGCTTTTGGAAAAGGCATGATCAGAATATGGACTGTTCTAAGGCTTCTCTTAAAAAATGCAACTATCAATCTGTTTTATTGGTCGCAGCATGCTCGATTCACAGTAACAAAATCAACCGAGTCATTCAAGTGTCACTCATGTCCCTAAAATGCGTTTTTATTTTTACAAGATATTAAAATCATATTCAATTGGCGATCAATCGAAATGGAGACCGCACACGGAGGCAACGTTGACGAAAAAGGCATTTTTCAAAATTCATACGGTTAACTATTCTTCAGACGAGCCAACGTGTCAGCAGCAGGGGGCGCTCTGAACCGGTTGTCACATGCAGCATGCACGACTCATTTTAGGGAGGGGGCACCACTTCATGAAGGAATAGGTCCAGGTGCCAACGGGCTAGGGCAGGATCTTGTTCACCTTTCTATGCCTGTCATGTATACTGACGTGCAGAAACATTAAATGCTTACACTACCACCTGCATTTTGTGACATTTGGGTGGTGAGCTGTGTGATTTTTCTATTGAAAAGGTTGGCAAACACTGGGTTGGGGAAGGGTAACGGAAAGGATTTTCACATGATTGGAATGATTCAAGTGACAGATGGCACAAATGTGTGGGTGTTTTCGGTGACTCGGAGCAATTGGTGGGAAGTGGGGGAGGGGTATTCACGAATCACAAAAAACACAGCGCTATGTACAGATAAATTCACAAAACAAGCAATCCAAGTGCTTGGAAACAAAATTTAAAATAATTATGACAAAGGCTGATCCAGTGGTTAAAATTAAGGCCGTTGGGACCCACTCGTACCGACCACATGCAATAAAGACAGTCGACACTTAAAAAAAAAGAAAAAAAATGCAAACCAAACAAAAAAAAAAATTAAAAATTAAAAAATAAAGTAAAAGAAAAGATGCGAGGTAACATTACAGTACCCTGTTTGATCCCCGTCAGGCGCTTGGGAGCGCTGGGGTTCATTATTGTAACATTTTTGTATAAAATCCTTGGGTGACACTGCCAATAAAGAGCCTGGATAGTTGACCTGAGTGTGTGTCTGTGTGTGCGTGTGTGTGTGTGTACATGTGTGTCAAATGGTGTGCCTGCTGACATGATTAAATAGGTGCAAACCATTCATAACAGTAACAACAATAAGAACCAAAACAATTACGGCATCGTAACGTTTCCCCCTCGCCGCAGCCGAGAAGGTTTTTGGTCACAATCAACTAGCTTGGAATAAAATGAAAGAACAAAACAGTGGTGTGAGTTATGGCCAATTTGGGAGGAGAAAAAAAAAAAGGAAACGTACAAATTTAAGCTCGGGGGCCGTTTTTTGTTTTCACGCCGTCTTGGTTATGTTTTCTGTCTCCTTGGTGGCCCAGCGCTCTTTGTGCTGCTTACGTCCGAAGCCCTCGTCGTAGTTGCCTTTGCTCTTGAACAGCTGCTTGAAGTGAGGCTTGCAGTAGAACTCGCCTTGCAGGGCAGCAAAGCTTCCCAAGCTGCGGGTGGAAGAAAACCAATCACAACCAACGAGTAATGACTCCAGACTAGTTGCAACTGTTTTCAAGTCGCGTCAACAAATCTGCATTTATTGTATGTATGTAACATACTGCCCCCTGGTGGCCAAGGCACACACATGCACACAAATACACGAAATACACGCAGATTTTTGGGGAACACAAACATGAAATGGGGGTTCACGATGTCAGTGTGGCGTGTGGTTACCTGAGCTTGGTGTTGCAGTGCTTGCAGCAAAAGCACGTGGAATGGAAGACCTGGTTGTCGGCCACCAGCCGCTCCATGGGGTAGACCGTCTTCTCGCAGGATGAGCACACTTCCTTCTGAGTCTTGAAGCTGAAAGACTGGGCACACAGAACCGCACGTGGACGTTAACCACCGAAGTGAAATGTTTCCACCAAAGACATATTCGATTTATACAGTTACGTCTTTTGTCTAATAAATCGCGCCGAAGCAGCATGTGTGTCATCGCGAGGATTATTCTTATGTGGTCTGTTGGAACTCTAAACGATAGTATGCTTGCAGAGTTGCAAAATTCTAGGGGATTTTCAAAGCTGAAAACCTTCGACGGGAAATACTAAGAATGAATTTCAATAGAGCATGAATTTACAAAATTGAAGGTTGGACATCAAGAAAGTTATACATTTAGTTGTAATTGAAAAAACTGGAAGCATAGATGGATGGATGGCGAGGAGCATCAAAGTGGGACAAGAGTAAATAACTGTAGGCCTTAACTTGTCTGATTAAATTGGTTTTATTACGTAAGCTCATTTAGTCCACACAGCCTTGGCTGTGAGCACCAGTGGAACACCGGATAGAATGAACTCAATCTCACGCCAGTCACTTTAGAGTTGGTTCAATTGGGTGGTTTCAGCACAAAAAGGACACACACGCGCACACACACTTGTTTACCTTGGACCGCTGGACTGGCTTCTCCTCAGTGTTTCTGTTATCCTGAGGAAGGATTTAAGACATATCAGTTCAAAATATGTTCTCATGTTACACTTATTGCTTTTATGCCAATTTTAACTTGACTAGCCCCCCTTGTCACCCTCCTGACTCCTCTTTTAACCCGTGGGAGAGGCTCTACTCCAGTCTGGGAACTCATGTGACTCAAAAGGGGGATGTTCGGCACCAAGCTGCTGGCCTCAACCGAATACTGAACACAACCGCAGCCGTGCACAATCGTGTGGACCGAACTCGAGATGTACCATCGTTTCACTTGACTCTTGATTGTTTGAAAACAACCGAGGGCAGTTTCGTTATCATGAACCATGATATTAGCCCAGTATTGTCACTGTTATTCAAGTGACAGCGGGTTTCGTTTCAACAACACTGTAAAAGTCCATCTGTACTGTACCAGGTACGTAACTCACATTGGCAACGATGGCCGCAAAACACACACTCACAAATTTCAGACGTGCACTCACAGACAAACCATGGACGTAGCACACACAAACAGATACAACCATGGACGTAACACACACACACCAAAGAACCAAAGGATGTGTGATGTATTCAGTAGCCGTCAGACAGCAATCATCATGCGGAATAAAGCGTCACGTGTTAAGCGTCACTCTCCCGTCCCGGCCTTTTGCCGTGCAGCTTCACACAGCTACTGATACTATGCCAGTAGCGGGGAAAACTTGCAGGGCAACTTCATTTCCTCCATTCTGCTGCCAGTAACTTTCAGACAGAACAGCCACAAGGGAAACTGTCTGCTTTGACAGGTTGTGTGAAAGGGCGTATAGATTTTCCAAGTGACACCTTATCTCTGGTGTACAAGTGCAAAATCGAGCTAATTAGGCCGAAGGTGTTACGTCACTGCACTTTGGGGAAGCTTAAGCCAAAGAAAAGCCAGACAGGGTTAAGCTGTGACAATTAGCACCAGGGGATGCTACAGGCTACGACGGCATTAACAGGCATGGCTATTGGTGGATAGTTCGACAAGGGTTCACGCAGAGTTCCATGCGGAAAAGCCAGAGACGTGATTGGAAGAACACACGCCTGTGTTTGGCTTGGGGGAGTCCACAGCATGTGACAAAAAAAAAATGTTATGTAAATTAGTGTGACCACAGGAGGGAGAGAAGGGAGACAAGCAGAGCTGTCACTTTCGACATAAGACAGTTGAGTGTGATCGATGTGCAACATAACACTAACATTTAGCAAGATAGCAAATCTGCGTAGACAAAAGTTCATACATCTTGCCCTAGATTCAGGCACTATTTCTAATGAGAAGTGATCAAATGCTAACTTGCTAGCAGTAGGAATGCTAATAAATTGCAAGATGGCCTGAGTAGCCGGGAGATGGAAATGCTAGTCAAGTAACGCCGCCTTACTTGAGAGGAGCCAGCACGCCAGATTGTGTTTCCTTATATGTACATGCAAGGCGCAGATACATGACAGGAAGTGGTTACGACATGCGGCTTCCTTCGGCTACAGTCTCGGCTACGGTGCTTGCTCAGCCAATAAATTAGGAACCACAAAGCAGCCGCCGGTAGACGCCAGTGAGGAGAGAGTGAATAGAAATAAAGCAGCTTTTTGTCTGAGCAGAACAAGGAGCACTTTCATAGCAGGCTGGCAGACACTATGCAGAATGCACAAGACTGCTACCTACAGGTCTGGAGTGGAACAACATCATTCTTCAGGGTTAACCTGTATATCTGCATCCATTTTTTGTTCATCGTTTCGCAAAGTGATGTGCCTTGAGATTTTTTACGATGTGAAATGTGCGCCATGGCTCACTAAAGGTTGGGAAACACTGTCCGAGAGTACATGTCAAATTTAGGGTAAAAGCCCATAACATACAAGAGGCAAAAATGTCAATCATTATGATACAAAATACAATTCAATATTTTATTTGGATTCAAAACAAAGATAATCAATCCGTTTTCATGGACAACTACACGAATAATATTTACTGTTGAGAATCTTAAATTCCGACAATTTGGACAACTTCGAAATAACCCAATATAAACAAGATACAGCATTGTTGTTTATTGCATTTGTGGCATTTTTAAGACCTTAAAAATGGCTTTAAGGTGTTGTTTCGAAGGATAAAAAAAAAAATCGAATTTTAAGGTAGAATCTTTGGATTGGGTTAGATTTGTCTGCAGGCAAATTCGTGTATTTGTACGTGCCTGAAGGAACAATGCGAGCGCGACCGCAGAAGATGACATGTAGCGTGTGTTTGACTGCAGCATTCCATCGCGGCCTCGACATGTAAAGCCCAGTCAGCAATGTGTCTATGCACAGAAACAACAGCACCACTGGTATGAAGCTAAAAACAACACCCACAAAAAATGAGTACAATCTTTAGTTGTGTTCTCACTGCAAGTCTGCAGTGTAATCAAATCTTCACCTCCCCTTTTTCTCTTGACTATTTTACAACTTACTGTATGCCCCCAGAAGAGTGATGCGGCATTTTTGCAGAAGCGACTTCCTGTCTGGGGAGCCTGCCAAAGTTCAGATAGAACTTCAGCCAAGCGTGCAGCGCTGTTGACGTTGGATGCTATTTTTAAACGGAAGATAATAGCGATGCAAACCTACTTTACTCCCCATTAAAACATCGTAATGTCAATCGAGGATAGAATAGCGATTCCATTGTGTTAAACGCAAAAAAACCTGCTTCTGAAAAGTCCCCCGTGTTGAGCGTGTGCAGCAGGACTACTTCACAACCGAAACAGAGTAAGTCTCCCCCAGGTGTGGAATTCTTGAAAACAAGTCCCAGCCTGTGAACATGCAAATACAAGTAAAATGCCTTCCAAGGCCACGGATTTAAGAATTGCACCAAAATATTCGTGAATCATATGCCTGTGTAGCTATGAGAAAGTGGTCAATGAATGAACTCCGAAAGAATCTTACATTTAACTTCCTTTATGCCAAAATCAGACTACACAAATGTAGCCCGATGAAAGTCATGTTGAAATTTGTGTTCATCTTCCCACATATTGTGACATGTCCTGTGTCGTCCTTGGATTTGTGCCCTCCTACTTTTGACGAGATATCGGAGTGGCGCAAACAATCACACATAGTGTACAGTATTTAAAAAGTGACTCAAACAACAGGGTAAAAATTGGAAAGTATGTGCAGCATTTCAACTCATGCTACGTTTGCTAACTCCAAAGCTAATACCTGATTCGCAAACGTGGTGTCATTAAACAAATTCGATACCTAATGTTTTGGGGAGAATAGACAAGTCCTTACTGCCCTCTTCCCACCATCCAAGAATTGGACAATACACTTTTATATACATACAAGTATTGTATACAAATCTGTGGTAGTCCGCACATCTCTTTTACCGAGGTAATCATCCACCTCACAGATGTGTAATATCATGATACTCATTAGACAGCATTTTTATTGCACGGGTGTACCTTAGGCTGCCCACAATAAGAAGGCCACTCTATAATGAGAATACTACGCAATAGTGGTGGTGGTGGTATTAAAGGATGGATGAAGTCGATTTGAAAAGGGTTAGGTACTAAATGCACAGCCTGCAACTGTCACAACCACAGGTACAGTTGTGCATTCATTTTCTAACACTAGAGGATGTTTACAACTGCACCGATTTGCTCTTTCAGGCCAAGTTATTCCACACACACACACACACACATACACACACACACACACACACACAACTACAGTAATTAGTGCATAATTAAAATGACATACTGTCAATCAATTTCGAGCGCTTATTGGGCGCCTGTGCAAGTGTACGTCGCGATGTGTTCTGTTGTGGCACTGTTTTGTGTGCAGTGTGCAATGTAAAGGCAAGCGGGTCAGATTGTTACAACACATCTGCTTACATTGTGTGTGGAACTGGTATTACAACAAACACTTGATACACAGAGACGACACAATGCCATTTCCTAAACAGTGCCGACAGGAAGAGGACGACTCGTCTTATGGAGAGGAACACTGAGCATTAAATCCAAAATTCACAGTGGATTTAAATCACTTTAATTGGCCAGGGAACGAGCTAATTTCGACGATTACATTAAAACGTTTTAATTACAGGAAAGGGACATTTGAATTTTGCAAAATAAACGGTTAGCATCGAGCATCTCCCCCTCGCCTCACCTCGGCTAAGCATAAAGGCAGCGTCGCGGGGAGGGAGAGGGGCGAGGGCAGTCGGGGAACGGACTCGGTTTGCTGGTTGAGCCGCGCACTCACCATCTGGGCGTCTTGCACTGGAAACACTTGCCGGTAAGCGTGTTCTCAATTCGGCGTTCTCGGTGGCTTTCGGTCAAAAATGATGCCGGTGGAGTGTCAATGCGTCTTCCTTTCTCGGGTCTCAATAGCGAGCCTTTTTCTTCTCCCCCACGAGCAGGAGGTCGCACGCCATTGGCTCGATTCTCCTTGAGAGGCGTTGACGGGAATCAGACAACTCAAACGTCATATGGCCGTAATGACTTTATAACTCAAAACTAAATGGTATATTTCAAACAATCACGCGTGATATATCTTAATGCATCCTGTTTAATAAACTCCAAATTAAAGTCTTTACGTATTTCGATCGTGTTCATTTTATCGCTGCTAAAAGTTATGACGGGCCACTGTGAAGACTGAAATGAAAGACTCCCTCGAACCAATTCGAACGCACGTTACAGCGGTGCCTTGAGATGCGAGTGAACTGAGTTTACGATTTTCGCTCGTCTCATTTTTTTCCCTGACTTGCAAGCAAAAATTGAGATACAAACAGTGTTTGGATGCAGTGAACCTTTCGTGCATGTTTTGGGGGATGTTGTGGAAGCGGGAGTAGGCCCATGTGGAAAAAACCGATGCAAACTCCAAAACGGAAAGCACACCATCAGAACTGTGACCCAAACCAATCATCCATTTTAATGCTGAGGAAAATCAGTTGGTGTAATATTATTGCAGTGCAATGATCCACCTCTTCAAAATGCATGCTACACAATCTGCATGTCTTTGCATTGTAATGAAGACATTCAATGTTTGATGAAAAAAAAACAAAACAGAGTATGCGTTCAAAAGTCTTTAATAAAACATTTTTGTATGAATGAATTAATGAACACGAGAAAAAGCAGTCTAGAGCATACAGAAGAGATTCATGCCAGGGGAAGGCACTTCTTCACTACAACTCAAATAGAAGAAAAATAACAAGCATGTTCGACATTATCACAGAGCACTTTTTTTTGTATTATTAACAACCAAAAAGTTTGCATTGTTTTCTAAAGAAATGAAGCACACACCAGCAGTCCAGTTGTAAGGGGGGTAGGGGGGCACAACATGAACTGATGTGAATAAAATGTATGGAAGGAGCCCCAAAACAGGGCATGGGGGGGAATCATTCTGGGAACAATATAGATATAACGTGCAGACAAAAGGTTCAATTCTCTGATTTTGCTATCTAATAGGGATATGAGAATTTTTGTTTCATTCTGTAAAGCACTCACACTACTGTATTCCAAACACAAGCACTGTTATTCAGCACATTCATTCCAGATGAAAATTTGTGAATACTAAGGAAAAACCCAGTGTTTTATTTTATTGGGGGAGAGGGGGTCCATTTTTTTTCAGAGCTGTATAGTGGCCACAATTAAATTTTTCCCCTCCCCAGGTCATGCCTGGGGCTCCATACTATTGCTGGATGCTGCGGACAAAGCGGTCTTGATGGGTTTTGTACAGTAGCTGCATTTATCTGCAATGTTTTCACCATTAGTTGTCCCACCTACTCTTTCTACGTTTTGGCGGCTCGGGTACAGCGAAGCTATCGTCTCCTCTGTCCCTGTCGCTCCTTCTGTCCTCTTTGTCCCGCCTGCTTTCATCGCCGTTGCGGCTGTCGCGGCTGTCGCTGTTGTGGCTGCTGCGGTCCCTTTCTCGATCACGATCGCTGCGTTCCCGCGAGGGTGTCGGGACGCTGCTCTGCGCGGTGGACACAGTGCTTAGGGAGCCGGCGCTGGTGAAGCCCGGCAGGGCGAAAGAGGCGGCGACGGCCTGGGCCCGCTCTGCGCCGCTGGGCGACTCGGTGGGCACAGAGCTCAGGCTGCCAGCGCTGGTCCAGCCGGACGAGCTGCTGGACTTGGCGCTAAGCTTGGGCGGGTTGCCGGACGCTGCCACAAAGTGACTCTTGTACTGAGCCTGGGAAGACGCAATCATTGACAAATTGTGCGTGTAAAAAGATTGAAATAAATGAAGCGGCAGTCTACAGCACGGGTGTCAAACACAAAGCCCGCTGGACAGATGCAGCTGCCGCTGTTGCTTGCCATTATTGTTCCTTGACGCCAGGTTAAAAGTCGTTATCCATCATAAAAATGATAACCAAATGCTGGAGCAGTAATTCAGTGAGCCTCTGCAAATCTGTTCACTTAGAATCAAAACAAAAGCAGTTTATTTTGCATGTTCTCTTACTGTACAAAACTGTTAATTTACACCCTTGTTTTTTTTTTTTTTGGTGTGACACTACACCGCTAGTAATTCAATATACACCCACTCAGGGTAATCCTAATGATGACAACAGATTTATGATCCCTGGTTTACAGCACAAGACCCAAAAAAAAAAAAAAAAAAAACAAGTTAGAACTGTACCTGGAAGGCTTGCCTCATGGCAGATATGCGGTCTCCCATGGCCCCGCTACTAGGTTTGTCATAGCCGCTCAAAGAAGCCAACACGCTGCTTGTGCTGCTGCGATCCTGCAAAGTCAACAAATGCCAGTTTTGTTCCATTTTTTTAATTTAAGATTTATTTGTTTATCACACGCCTCATCAAAATCCAAGGATCTCCTGCCCATACAGATATGGTCTCTTTTAACAACGTGTGGAGCGCATGTGTTGATTTCTGTTGCTTTTCTTTAATGTAAAATTGCAAACACAAAAGTGTCTTGGTTGTGAATCCCAGCAATATAAAATATAATTGTGAACCAGTATATAAAAACTCACAGAGGTGTCAGCGCCCAATCCTGGTCTCTCTCTGTAACCAAGTCCTCCTCCGCCGATGTTCAGCTTCTTTCCTTTACCACCTTTGAATCTGGACTTCCTAAACCATGGATTCTAGAATTTCAAAAAAAGAACACAATATAAAAAGTTTTCTCCAAAAGTAGTACGTCAGCTGAAGTTATTCATTTGTGTGAATTGATTTAGTGTAAATAGCAAAAATGACTACATTAAATAATTAAGTTACAAATCTTTTTGCCATTAGCATGCATTATTTAATCAACAAAGGTTTTCGAATACAAAAACATGAGTAACATTTCTATTGCTAAAAATGCTTGCAAAGCATTAAATCAGTGGTTCAATACAATATGCATGATTTATTATTTTAGTATAATTTTTTTTCCCATGAAACAAAAATGACAAATTTAATGTTGACTTTTATGATATTAGTCAATTAAAAATGACAATAATGTTTTGGTGAATTACAATTAATTATAAATGATGTAATGAAAATTGATTATCATTAAAATAATTTATATTTTACCATAATTTTTTTTTCCAACCTCATCCAAATATTTTTGACCCAAACCGTTACTTTGTGGTTTACCTGTAGGGCCAAGTCCATCAGTTCTTTGGAGACGCTCTGATTTGCACCCTCCAGGTTGCGCACAAGGTCCCCGGCAAAGGTGGTGTCCTTGTTGGTCAGCAGGGTATAGGCCACGCCCTTCTCGCCAGCTCTACCCGTCCGGCCAATGCGGTGCGTGTGTGTATCGATGTCCCGCGCCACGTCGTAGTTGACGACTGTGCGAATGGACGGGATATCCAAACCACGGGCTGCAGAAGGAAGTTGAAAATTAGAAAAATAACAATATGACCTCTGCCTAAATAATCTGGATGAAAAAAAAAAGTGTAAAATGTTGCAGTTACACTCCAGCCCATGAGGTGCCGGTAAGGTGGACATAACAAAAACTAAACATGACTACTTTCCCAATGCGATGGCGCCAACTCACCGGCGACGTCGGTGGCCACCAGGACGGGCAGGTTCTTCTTCTTGAAGTCGCTGATGACCTTGTTCCTCTCGCTCTGGTCCATGTCGCCGTGCAGCAAGCCCAAGCTGTAGCCCTCCTGCGTCAGGTTGGTGGCCAGTTCCTCCGAATTGGCCTTCTTTGTAACGAAGATCAGCACAGAGCCGCTGGACGTAAACTCCACCAGGCGCCGCGTCAGCCAGCTCCACTTGTCCGTGCCACTCGGCAGCATCTCCACCACCTGTGTAACGTCCTCGTTGGCCTGAAAAAAATAAATAAATAAAAAGTAAATAAAACGGGTTGATCCATTAAGAATCGGGTCCTGAAGTAACGCAGAGCAAATGCTTAATTCATTGAAGGATTCCATCTGACATCAGCCATGTATCGGAAGTTTGAGATCATCATTCTGATCCATATATCATACATAGAGTGAAATAAAAATAATGATTTATCAATTGTACATTTCCCCAAATTATTTGGGAAAATTAGTCAAATGCTACGTTTAAACAAAAAACAACAACAGTGAAATCGATAGTGTACTTTCTTTTTCTTTTCATGTATATTATACTGAAACCCTAAACTTGTTGGAAACCTGAATTTGTAATCCTACCCTTGTCTTAAAAACCCCCATGATTTGCTTGAAACCATAAACTTGACAAACATTTCTTTAAAATATTGAACTCCTACTTTGATACCATAACCGTGTCTAATCCTGTGCTGAAACCCTAATCTGAAACCCGATCACTGTCTTTAAATGCTAATTGGAAACCCTAAACCTGTCTTGATACACTTTTTGAAACCCTAATCTTACCTAGACATCCAAATTTGAAACCCTGTTGTGACCTCATAATAATGCTCGACATTGATTATGAATAGCGGCACCTCTCCAATATCTCCCTGCACCACGCGGATGGGATCCATCAGGATGTCCCTGGCCAGCCTCTCGATCTTCTTCCGGAAGGTGGCACTGAACAAAAGTGCTGTGGCGGGAATTGTATTCATTATATTTATGGGATTTTTAATTCATTGAGTAAAAAAAAAATGAAAAGCACTCACTCTGTCTGTCAGGACGCACATGGCTGGCGATGGATCGAACTTGATACTCTGAAAAAATGAAACAAAGAACTTGTATGACTTCTTCATTTTCAAGTTTTTTTTTTTTTTTTAATGTAGAGTATTTTGTAATGTAATTTCAACCCACCAAAGCCCATATCAAACATGCGGTCTGCCTCATCAAACACGAGGTACGACACTCTCTGGAGAGATGTGGCCTTCTTTTTAACGTGGTCAATCAGACGACCCTGTGAAAAAAACAACAACACAAATTTCATATCAATTTGTTGTCATTTTTTGAGTGGGTAGTGAACAAAAGTGCTTTGGCGGGAATTGTATTCATTATATTTATGGGATTTTTAATTCATTGAGTAAAAAAAAAATGAAAAGCACTCACTCTGTCTGTCAGGACGCACATGGCTGGCGATGGATCGAACTTGATACTCTGAAAAAATGAAACAAAGAACTTGTATGACTTCTTCATTTTCAAGTTTTTTTTTTTTTTTTAATGTAGAGTATTTTGTAATGTAATTTCAACCCACCAAAGCCCATATCAAACATGCGGTCTGCCTCATCAAACACGAGGTACGACACTCTCTGGAGAGATGTGGCCTTCTTTTTAACGTGGTCAATCAGACGACCCTGTGAAAAAAACAACAACACAAATTTCATATCAATTTGTTGTCATTTTTTGAGTGGGTAGGTTTGGATGAATGTTGTTTTTCTTTACCGGGGTGCACACCACAATCTCTGCGCCATCCTGCAGAGCTTTGGCCTGCTCCCACATGCTGCCTCCTCCGTACACCGCCACTGAGCGCAGAGAGTACGCTTTGCCGAAGCGCTTGCATTCAGCGTGGATCTGCATAACGAGGAAGAAATTAGAACCCCAAACTTTGCTTGAAAAGCCACGCCAGGTCTAAAACCTTAGTCAGCAAACCTTAACCTGGCTTGAATACATATATGGAATCCATGACCCTGCTTGAAACGCCCAACCCCGAAGCACGCCGTACCTGCTGACAGAGCTCCCTGGTGGGGCACACGATGACGGCAATGGGCCCGTCCCCGGGCTCCAGCTCCTTCTGGTCCATGATGTGCACCAACATGGGCCAGATAAATGCCGCTGTTTTGCCACTGCCGGTTTTCGCGATGCCTATCATGTCGCGGCCTGACAGAGCTATTGGCACGCCCTACGGAGAAACCCAGAAAACACCGCATCAAATGTGTTTTCACTTTTCTTGACATACTTGTGAGGATTTCGCTAAACCTGGCACTGGATGGGAGTGGGCTGAGTATACTCGGACTTGCGGATCTGATGCATCAACTGCTCGTCAAAGCTGAAGTGGGCGAAGCTCGTACATGGTTTAGGCGGCGCGGCGCCAGACACCTGAAACATTAGAATTCAGGATCAGTGCTTTGGGGAAATGACATTTGTAGTATATGACTCGTTACAAGATTGTATGAATACTTACTCGCAAGTTGAGCTTCTGCCGTAGTTCGACCACTTGAGTTCCAGTCAGGCTGTTCAGCTCCTCGTGCTCATTGTAGAAGTTTTTCTCAAACGGCGGGTAATCAATCTATGGAGGGGCGCCAATTCTATACTCAGATTTTTAAAAACCATTTCACTCTACATTATCACTTAACACACGTTATTTCATTGCCAGAATTACGTTCCGGACCCACAGGCAATAGGTGAAAATCTGTATGAAAGGACGGGCGCTAATTTCCTCCAAATTCTTCTTTGTCATCATTTAACTCCAGCAACTTGCAACAAATATATACAAAGTTGCAACAAGGTATTTCAGAGCGTGCAATGAATTTCCCCCAACAACATATACTCTGGAGCGACCTATATGTTTTTCTTCTTCATGATGCTTTTTTTTTTTTTTTTGACTGCTGTATCAACTTGCAGTCTGAAATATTCAATAGCTATCATTCTAAAACATAATATGTATTCTGTATTTATGCTTGACTGGTACAGCTTGGCGATGGCAGCGGTCGACTGAATCTCGCTTCTAACCGGAAATGAACATTTGGTCTGTGATATCAGAGGGATTACGTTGCGATACCTCAGAGTGGTCAATAGGAGGCAGGGGCAGAATGATTTTCTTGGCGACGGGGGCAATGGGGTTGCCGTCGCTGTCATACTCCACGTTCTCCTCCTCCTCTTCCGGCGTCAGGCCGGCGGTGGGGTTCTCGGCCATGTAGCGGAAGTAGGCCTCCTGCAGAAAGCACAACAGCGCATGTCTAGAACTGAACCGACAATAATAAGGACACATCGAATTTTGTCAGTCAGTATTTTGGAATGATCCTTCTGAACTTAACACTTAAACATGCTTTGTTGTCTGCACAGGAAAAAAAAAAAAAAAAAGACAAGAATAAGCACGGTGAATATCCAATACAACCTACATGTTGCCTGTACAGCAAAGAAGGAGAGGGGGGGATGTTTTCTCAATCGACAAAGAGATGCGATCATATGGTTCAAGTATTGCGAAGGTCTCACTACTCACTTGTTCATCTTCTTCTTCAATGTCATCGCGAATACCCCTGAAATGACAAGCGGAGAAAAAAAAAAACTTCCCTGCGGCTCGTTCATACACCCAAGAGAGACCCCCCCCACCCCCCTCACACCCGTGTGAGCATGTGGCTCACTGCGTTTACCTGATAGTATGCCAACTACCGTACAAAGGAGTCTTAGGGCCACACTGGAAATTAAAAATTAAGTTCACTGACCAATAAAAAGGTGACAATTCATAATGTAATGAGAATAATATTGTTTTATGAGAAAAAGATGTACTGTAAAAAAAAGGGGGGAAGAAAAAAAGAAATAATGATAAGAGTATTACATTGTAATGTTCAAATACAAAGTACAAGTTGGAATTTTATGTAACGTTACAAGATTTGCAATTTTAAGAGAATCATGTTGAATTACAGGAAAAATTATATCATGAGAATATAGAATTGTAATGAGAAAAAGTACGCAATACAGCGCAAAAATAAAGTAGGAATGTGAGCAAAATATAGACGAGGATTATGAAGTTGTAATGTTACAAGAAAAAAGTAATTCTATAAGTTTGAACTGAGAATCGAGCCATCATGTTCATGCGGTCGTAATTTTACAAGCCTTGTGTCATATGTTAGGAGAATAAATTGTAATTTTACAAAATCTTATGTGAGGCGAACAAGCCTACGATATACATTTTCAGTGCGACCCTAATGCTCTTCCGTACTACAGAAGCCATAAAAGCAGAAAGGAAATGCTGGCATATCACTTTTTTTGGTGCCACACAACAATCTATTTGAATTGCGGGCATTTTCCTTCTTGCTAAAGCACTCAATTTAAACACCTACGTAAGACTGTCAGAAAAAACTCAAGATAGGCTTACTTGGCCGACTTTTCCTCGATTTTCTTAATGTCCTTTGCCGCTTGGTTCTGGGAGAGAAGACATTTTTTAGTTAGACGGTTAGACAAAACATGGCTGGGTGATAAGACCTAAAACTGAAAATGATTGATAAATTAAAAATCTGGCACATCAACTCTAATTAATCGATAAAACCGATGATCCACCCAGCCCCAGAACAGAACAATAATAAATAGCGAATCACGCTTACTTCAACCTCAGCCATAAAGGCATCAAGGGGATCGTCATCGCTGTCTGAGCCGCCGCCAGACTTCATCTGCAGCCGTGTGGGTGAATTTTCTGCCGGGATGTACGGCAGGTCCACGTTGCTGCTGGACTCCTCCTCGTCGTCCTCAAAGTACCTTGTTGGGAAAAGTTTGTCAATTTTATTTCTGTACTTCTGTTCATGTGTGTTTTCTGCTACCCGGGAGGGAACACTCACGCATTCTCCTCGTCAAAATTGCCTCTTTTGGTACCAATTTTGTAGAAAGATGGCAATTGGCCCTTCCCGTAGCCGCTGCCGCTTGATCCTGGTGGCTTGAACGACCCGTGGGATTTCTGGGGGAGTGATGATTCCTCTTTTTTCCCGCCTCCGAGGGAAAAGCCCCCAAAGCCAAAGCCACGCTTCACACCGGGACCACCTTTATTCCAATTCATTGCCTTGCTGTGGAAAAAATAAAGAAAACATAAACCCCCCCCCCCCAAAAGTAATTTGCCTCATTTCACAAACATGACCATGATAAACTAATCAAGGTTATGTAGAGAAAGGTCCGCATGTAACAGCTGATCACATTTAGGTGTTTTAGTATCATAGTTGGGTGTTTACAATTGGGTCTAAACAATTGATACAGGCCATTATGAACACTATGTTTCGGCAGCAATAGATCTTTGACCCTAAACCCTTGTGAGTGGCAACAGTACAATTATTGCTATATTCAAATTTTAATTATCTTTAATTGGACGCCATTTTGACAACCTAGGGGTACCTAATGAAATGTCCAGTGTGGATATCCCAGAATTAGTATGTTAAATTAACCCATTTAATCACAAATCTTTGCTTCAGCGACATTCTGGACACATGTTCGTATTACATTTCAAGTAAACTCAACTCCCCTATAAAAAGAGATTTGTTTACGTGCAGATTTTTATCTTAAAATGGAGGTGCGACGAATCGGTTGCTTGACAAAGGTACGTCTAAATCTGTGCATCGTAAATAATAACAAATACCATCCAAAACCCGGAAAATGTTTGCATCGTGGACATTTAAAATATAAGAATCAAATCAATATAGCGAAAGCGCGATGACGACGTTTTAGCATTAGCATTAGCTTGCTCGACAGGCCACGAACTGAGGCCGTTATGAGCGTGCGCATGCTTTATACATGCATGTGGCGTGACACAATAATGTGCATTTCACATAAAAATAACATATTGCACTTTCAATTTAGCACAGAAGCCATAATATCCCTACTTTACCTGTTGTTTGATGTCCCAAAAAGCGCCCTTGAATTGTTTTTACAGCGGAGGAATAACGCCTACGTCATCTGCGCGTCCAGTTTCCTAATGTATGACGTTTGTCATGAGCGACACCAACAGTTAGCTCTCGGCGGTGCCCCCAGGATGGAAAGCTTGTTTACTTGTGTTAATGTAAAATTTTAGTCAAATCTTTGTCGTTCCGCACATTGTATGGTTTAAACGGTAAGTGAACACGTTAAATACATCGCATCATGAGGGTTTATGTTTTAATGAAAGAGTCGTGAGCGAGTCTAGCTAACGTCAGTTCAACGGGTGTTAGCATCGTTTGCCAGTGCACTTCACCATGACAACTGAACGTTTACATGTGCTTTCATAGGTATTCCCTGGACTTGGTTTCAAGATTAGATGAAACAAAGGGATCAATGTCTTTTCTTGTAAGTCCTGTTTACCATTATGCTCTCAGTGAAATAGATTCGAATCTTGTTTAGTCTAGTCATTCAATTGAGAGGGTTGTACAAGCTGCCTTTGTGAGTGTTGTGAGTCATGCATCGCAGATGTGATAACTGTGGAAGTTGTCTTCGTTCATGCTTCAATCGTCTTTCCTCTTTTTCTCCCTGTTTGTCCGTAAATTGTAACCTTGTGTCTGTCAGCGTTGGGTGTCTGAGAAATTGAGTGTGGAGAGCCTGCGGGATTTGGAGTTGTTTGGAGGTGAGGCCCAACCCTCAAAGCAGAAGACAATATCGGTCATTCTTGTATAATAACTCCTAAGGATCCAATAAACAAAAAAGACTTCCTTGTACATTTAGGCGCTGGAATATTTTGTCACGGTTGGGTTACATACGTGTAACTATTTGGCCAGGTGCAGTCATTGTGCACGGTCAGGGAAGGACATCTATATACTTAGTTGAGAACGTCACTATGACCACGGTGATTTGTGTAACTGAGCCTCTAATGTTGAATACAGTCGCACTCATTGCTTTGCCAGCTCAGTGGCCAATACCCTCTTTGAAGGCTCCGGGGAGGTGGTCCCCTAAAACTAGTCAAGAAGATGGTGTTGATGTGTGTTGATGTCTTCATGTCACTGATGCGGTCTTTCTACCACAGAGCAATCTCAGGAACTCTGTCACGGGGAAGTAAGTGTCCTGTCACCGCATCGCCACGCCCCTCCGTGCCTGTCGTGCGCGTGCATGGCGCGTGTGTGCGCACAGGTTCATCCCTGCGTGTGGAAGCCCACCGACCACATATGTCGTCACACTTATTCAGTATGCATGAGTAACTGCTCCGTGTTTGCCCGGCGTTGGCAAACGACGTGCTTGGTATTAAGTCCACTCACTGCAGGAAGGTCACACCAGGTGCTCACATGCGTCCCTATGGATCAAGCATCAACAATGGACACGTCTCTTTCAGAAAGGGAAAAACAAAGCAAAGCTTGTTTTGAGTCATGTAATCATTTTTTTGTTTTCAATAAGCAATCAGGGGGAAAAAAATGATTTCGTTGGAAAATTAGATCAGGCCATTTCGCCCAGCCCCTTCTCTTTATTTCGATCGAGTTCTATTAAAAAGCATTGCAAAATGGCAGCTTGTTTGGAGATCACATAGGGCGCATGTTAGTCCCGGGTGTTCGCTCATGCCGTGCGGCTTTTGGGAGTTGGATGGCGTGTTCCACTGTGGCAATGCATGGCGACGCCCGCCTGACGAACGTCACCTTGGATTGTCAGTCTCTCCTCGTCGCCCCACCTCCACAGGTTACAACATTGTACCCGGATTTGTTTTTTCTGTACATCACCTTGGAAACAGTGACACGGCGGACCCTCACGCAAATTCACGGTTTCCCGCTTCGCAGTATGTTGTTGCAAAGATGCGTTATGGTGATAACCTGCTGTTGATAGTACGAATGGAATTGTGGGTTTTGACACCTTGTTCACACACTGAGTACACTCCATCATGTTGAGAATCTGCATTATCCACTTCAGCGTTCACCTGTTTTGTGGATTATCATTTTTTGTCCTTGATACAAAGCTTTTTATGTTTTGTTTTGGTTTTTTGCACCTTATACTTAGAGTACTGTTCCCGTGTGTGGGAAAGGAGAGCAACGGTCGATGCACCTTTCAACTGTTTATTGAAGGGCCAGAAAAACAGTAAAAGACAGTGAGCCACTCACCTGTTGTCAGCCACAGACTCGTTCTTGCATCACACCTAACCTCACCTTGCTCCGCCTCTTAAAGGCACGTGCACAGATATGACAAAACACAGTATTTTCTATATTATGTCTGCAGTTATTTTTTTTCTGTTCAAATGTGTTTCAAATTGTCTCAATTGTGGATCGCTTTGGAACACAGCTTTTCTTGATTTAAGGTCTTGTATGTGAATTACCACAAGCAGCAGATCTAACATCTTTTAAAACACACCTGCCCATGTCCTACATCTGTCAGAATTGATTTAGGAAAAGACCGCTTGTTCACTTGCCCCACAATCGTGCTCCGTGACAACCCCCGAAATGGCGAGGAGAACATAATAAATGGTGACTAATTAGTTTGACACGGATAAGTCAGAGCATATTTGGAACAAACTGGGAATTGGGCGTCTTTTGGTCCTTGTTAAGTCAATGCTGTCATGTCAAGTTCAACTTCCATGTGTCCTTTCTTGCGTCTTTGTCCAGGCCCATGAGGACAGTAGGGAAAGCGTGACGTCCCTCCCACGTCGAGACACCATGGGCAGCTTCCTCCCCGACAGCAGCGCCTATCAGCTGCTCGCTGTTATCGGTAGGCTCCTTCCCCACGTTTCGTTAATACAGTCAACCTGCACCATCCGAGTTTGATAGGAATCAAGCTCTGCCGCGGAGACGGAAAATCCATAAACTCTAAACAGGTCCATACTGTGCCGTAAGTGTATGGATGCCTCCAGGTTGTGGCAAAGGACCGCTTTTGTCTAAATCAGGGATGGGCAACAAAAAAAAAAAAAACAAAACCCCCCCCCCCCCAAAAGTAATTTGCCTCATTTCACAAACATGACCATGATAAACTAATCAAGGTTATGTAGAGAAAGGTCCGCATGTAACAGCTGATCACATTTAGGTGTTTTAGTATCATAGTTGGGTGTTTACAATTGGGTCTAAACAATTGATACAGGCCATTATGAACACTATGTTTCGGCAGCAATAGATCTTTGACCCTAAACCCTTGTGAGTGGCAACAGTACAATTATTGCTATATTCAAATTTTAATTATCTTTAATTGGACGCCATTTTGACAACCTAGGGGTACCTAATGAAATGTCCAGTGTGGATATCCCAGAATTAGTATGTTAAATTAACCCATTTAATCACAAATCTTTGCTTCAGCGACATTCTGGACACATGTTCGTATTACATTTCAAGTAAACTCAACTCCCCTATAAAAAGAGATTTGTTTACGTGCAGATTTTTATCTTAAAATGGAGGTGCGACGAATCGGTTGCTTGACAAAGGTACGTCTAAATCTGTGCATCGTAAATAATAACAAATACCATCCAAAACCCGGAAAATGTTTGCATCGTGGACATTTAAAATATAAGAATCAAATCAATATAGCGAAAGCGCGATGACGACGTTTTAGCATTAGCATTAGCTTGCTCGACAGGCCACGAACTGAGGCCGTTATGAGCGTGCGCATGCTTTATACATGCATGTGGCGTGACACAATAATGTGCATTTCACATAAAAATAACATATTGCACTTTCAATTTAGCACAGAAGCCATAATATCCCTACTTTACCTGTTGTTTGATGTCCCAAAAAGCGCCCTTGAATTGTTTTTACAGCGGAGGAATAACGCCTACGTCATCTGCGCGTCCAGTTTCCTAATGTATGACGTTTGTCATGAGCGACACCAACAGTTAGCTCTCGGCGGTGCCCCCAGGATGGAAAGCTTGTTTACTTGTGTTAATGTAAAATTTTAGTCAAATCTTTGTCGTTCCGCACATTGTATGGTTTAAACGGTAAGTGAACACGTTAAATACATCGCATCATGAGGGTTTATGTTTTAATGAAAGAGTCGTGAGCGAGTCTAGCTAACGTCAGTTCAACGGGTGTTAGCATCGTTTGCCAGTGCACTTCACCATGACAACTGAACGTTTACATGTGCTTTCATAGGTATTCCCTGGACTTGGTTTCAAGATTAGATGAAACAAAGGGATCAATGTCTTTTCTTGTAAGTCCTGTTTACCATTATGCTCTCAGTGAAATAGATTCGAATCTTGTTTAGTCTAGTCATTCAATTGAGAGGGTTGTACAAGCTGCCTTTGTGAGTGTTGTGAGTCATGCATCGCAGATGTGATAACTGTGGAAGTTGTCTTCGTTCATGCTTCAATCGTCTTTCCTCTTTTTCTCCCTGTTTGTCCGTAAATTGTAACCTTGTGTCTGTCAGCGTTGGGTGTCTGAGAAATTGAGTGTGGAGAGCCTGCGGGATTTGGAGTTGTTTGGAGGTGAGGCCCAACCCTCAAAGCAGAAGACAATATCGGTCATTCTTGTATAATAACTCCTAAGGATCCAATAAACAAAAAAGACTTCCTTGTACATTTAGGCGCTGGAATATTTTGTCACGGTTGGGTTACATACGTGTAACTATTTGGCCAGGTGCAGTCATTGTGCACGGTCAGGGAAGGACATCTATATACTTAGTTGAGAACGTCACTATGACCACGGTGATTTGTGTAACTGAGCCTCTAATGTTGAATACAGTCGCACTCATTGCTTTGCCAGCTCAGTGGCCAATACCCTCTTTGAAGGCTCCGGGGAGGTGGTCCCCTAAAACTAGTCAAGAAGATGGTGTTGATGTGTGTTGATGTCTTCATGTCACTGATGCGGTCTTTCTACCACAGAGCAATCTCAGGAACTCTGTCACGGGGAAGTAAGTGTCCTGTCACCGCATCGCCACGCCCCTCCGTGCCTGTCGTGCGCGTGCATGGCGCGTGTGTGCGCACAGGTTCATCCCTGCGTGTGGAAGCCCACCGACCACATATGTCGTCACACTTATTCAGTATGCATGAGTAACTGCTCCGTGTTTGCCCGGCGTTGGCAAACGACGTGCTTGGTATTAAGTCCACTCACTGCAGGAAGGTCACACCAGGTGCTCACATGCGTCCCTATGGATCAAGCATCAACAATGGACACGTCTCTTTCAGAAAGGGAAAAACAAAGCAAAGCTTGTTTTGAGTCATGTAATCATTTTTTTGTTTTCAATAAGCAATCAGGGGGAAAAAAATGATTTCGTTGGAAAATTAGATCAGGCCATTTCGCCCAGCCCCTTCTCTTTATTTCGATCGAGTTCTATTAAAAAGCATTGCAAAATGGCAGCTTGTTTGGAGATCACATAGGGCGCATGTTAGTCCCGGGTGTTCGCTCATGCCGTGCGGCTTTTGGGAGTTGGATGGCGTGTTCCACTGTGGCAATGCATGGCGACGCCCGCCTGACGAACGTCACCTTGGATTGTCAGTCTCTCCTCGTCGCCCCACCTCCACAGGTTACAACATTGTACCCGGATTTGTTTTTTCTGTACATCACCTTGGAAACAGTGACACGGCGGACCCTCACGCAAATTCACGGTTTCCCGCTTCGCAGTATGTTGTTGCAAAGATGCGTTATGGTGATAACCTGCTGTTGATAGTACGAATGGAATTGTGGGTTTTGACACCTTGTTCACACACTGAGTACACTCCATCATGTTGAGAATCTGCATTATCCACTTCAGCGTTCACCTGTTTTGTGGATTATCATTTTTTGTCCTTGATACAAAGCTTTTTATGTTTTGTTTTGGTTTTTTGCACCTTATACTTAGAGTACTGTTCCCGTGTGTGGGAAAGGAGAGCAACGGTCGATGCACCTTTCAACTGTTTATTGAAGGGCCAGAAAAACAGTAAAAGACAGTGAGCCACTCACCTGTTGTCAGCCACAGACTCGTTCTTGCATCACACCTAACCTCACCTTGCTCCGCCTCTTAAAGGCACGTGCACAGATATGACAAAACACAGTATTTTCTATATTATGTCTGCAGTTATTTTTTTTCTGTTCAAATGTGTTTCAAATTGTCTCAATTGTGGATCGCTTTGGAACACAGCTTTTCTTGATTTAAGGTCTTGTATGTGAATTACCACAAGCAGCAGATCTAACATCTTTTAAAACACACCTGCCCATGTCCTACATCTGTCAGAATTGATTTAGGAAAAGACCGCTTGTTCACTTGCCCCACAATCGTGCTCCGTGACAACCCCCGAAATGGCGAGGAGAACATAATAAATGGTGACTAATTAGTTTGACACGGATAAGTCAGAGCATATTTGGAACAAACTGGGAATTGGGCGTCTTTTGGTCCTTGTTAAGTCAATGCTGTCATGTCAAGTTCAACTTCCATGTGTCCTTTCTTGCGTCTTTGTCCAGGCCCATGAGGACAGTAGGGAAAGCGTGACGTCCCTCCCACGTCGAGACACCATGGGCAGCTTCCTCCCCGACAGCAGCGCCTATCAGCTGCTCGCTGTTATCGGTAGGCTCCTTCCCCACGTTTCGTTAATACAGTCAACCTGCACCATCCGAGTTTGATAGGAATCAAGCTCTGCCGCGGAGACGGAAAATCCATAAACTCTAAACAGGTCCATACTGTGCCGTAAGTGTATGGATGCCTCCAGGTTGTGGCAAAGGACCGCTTTTGTCTAAATCAGGGATGGGCAACTAAAATGCTGGAAGGGGGGGGGGGGCACAATTTGTCATCACTTTTTCATCACTTTGTCTCTGAACAGGTCAAGGCCTGGACCACCTGATGACGGTGAACCGGGCCCAATACAGACCCACTGGGGAGCACGTGGCCATACGACGCATCGACCTGGAGTCATGCACGAACGACATGGTCGCGTACCTGCAGGTCGGCATCAATCTGAAAGTCGTCATCTGATCGAGACAAATGAACTCAAAAGAGACAACCCCTCGCGTCTTTCGCTGCTTAATGTCGCTCCCGTAGGCCGAGCTGCACGTGTCCAAGTTGTTTCATCACCCCAGCATTTTGCCCTATAAAAGTGTCTTCATCGCCGAGAACGAGCTGTGGGTCATCACTCCGTTAATGGCGTATGGTGAGATGCTTGTGCGTCGATACCAATCACTGTACATTTTATGCTCACAAGTCATACTGAACATTATTGGGGGTGTTTTTTTCTCCCCCAGGCTCGGCCAGAGAGCTTGTCAGCACATATTTTCCTGACGGAATGAGTGAGCTCACCATCGCGTACATCCTACTGGGCATCCTCAAAGCCCTGGAGTACATCCACCAAATGGGATATGTGCACAGGTACTTGGATGGATAGATGGATTATATATTAATCTCATGAGGAAAAGTACGTTGTGGCAGCAGCAATATTCACAGATCGCATGAATAATTAATGTACAACCGAAATAATACAAACACAAATCAGCACTGAAGAGGTGTGAAACGAAATTCAACTCAAATCCAAAACAAGAGATATTGATAAAGATGGTGCATGCCGGTGTATAATTAGTTCATGAAACAAGGTATTGATTTTGTGTCACGCGCAGGAGCGTGAAGGCCAGCCACGTGCTGATTGCCGCTGACGGCCAGGTGCGCATGTCTGGCCTTCGCAGCATCTTCAGCCTGATCCGACACGGCCAGCGGGCCAAGGTGGTGCATGACTTCCCGCAGAACAGCGTCAAGATGTTGCCGTGGCTCAGCCCCGAGGTGCTGCAACAGGTACGGCGAAATCTCACTTTCCGTCATTCGCAGTTTGTTTTCCAATATTTATTTAGGGCCATTTTTTTTTTTTTATTTCACTTACATGCAACACCTTTGAATTGAATCATTGACCTGTGTACAGCTCTCTGAAACATTTATTGTTTTCAGGTGTGTTTTTTTTTCCCCCTTCTAGAACCTACAGGGCTATGACTTTCGCTCAGACATCTACAGCCTGGGCATCACAGCATGTGAGCTAGCTAACGGACACGTCCCCTTTAAGGACATGCCAGCTACACAAGTAAGCGGATATTCCAGCCATCTGATTTTGGACATCTCACGAAGGACTCAAACTCACGTACCCCCCCCACTGCTCAGATGCTGCTGGAGAAGCTAAACGGGACAGTGCCGTGCTTGCTGGACACCACCACTATCCCGCCGGAGGAGCTCTCCATGAAGCCGTCGCGCTCCGGCGCAGACTCGGGCATCTGCGAAGGACCGGGAGGAGGCGGCAGCGTTGGCGGAGTCCGCCACTCCAACGGCGAACCAGCTCCCTCCTCCTCGTCTGCACACCCGTACAATCGCAGTTTCTCGCCGCACTTTCACGCCTTTGTCGAGTTGTGTCTTCAGAGGGACCCGGAGAAGAGGTAGGGTGAGTGTCAGCAATAAAACTGCATAAAACTGACAATTTTTTTTCCTCCTCTTTTTTTTCATTTAGACCCTCTGCCTCCGCTCTCATAGGTCATCCCTTTTTTAAACAGGTGTGTATGACACAGGAATCTATTCTGACATTGTAGGCCACGGGGAACACGATAGCTCTTGAAAGAGGAGAGTGAAGGCAATTTTGAATGCGATAGGGAAGTGGGAATGAAGACAGAAAAGGTTTTCGCATGAATGAAAACATAACCTGTCAATGCAGTCAAATTGAGTGTATACTGTACCCATTTTTGCCCCACCCTGTATGAACAAGGATTGTGTGCCCGTATCTCTCAGATCAAACGGCGTCCCTCCGAGGCGCTGCCCGAGCTGCTGAGGCCCGCGTCGCCCATTGGCAGTGGCGAAAGCTCACAGCTGCAGCCATCACCGTCCAGGCTGGCCAGCCTCGAATCGGGCCTCAGCCACCTGGACGTGGACGACTGGGACTTCTGACGTCGGCGGACAGGGACGAGCCGTGTCCGTGTGTAAATAAATAGACGTTGCTTTTCTCAGAGGTGACGAGCCGGTCGCTGTTTCACTTCCTTTGACGTCTCTTGTCATTGTCTTAAAATGGCCTCCTTTTCCTCTCAGGCTTTGTACAGAAGATACTCTACCTCGCACTCAACCCACACGCTTGCATGTTCGTTTACTGGCTCCTGTGCATGAATGTTACAGATTTGACAATAAAAGCAATGTTTCCACTTGCTAAAAAATATAACTTTATTCACATTGTACACACAAACAGGGGGAAAAGGTGGAGGAGATTTCAGTCTTCCTCTTCGTCGGATGGCGGCAGTTCCGAAGCGGCTTTGCGTTTTTCTATCTTGGCCAGCAAGTCTGAAAGAAACATGAAATTACGTGCAGGTGGTCGGTGATTAATTGACTTGTATCTTTTTTCCATTTTTTTTATTTTGAACACAAACGGCAGCAACACATGGAGACAGACAATACATATTCTTTATCCTGTAGGAAAAACAAGTAACATGACTGCATCTTACGGAGTTACGTTCACTTTTTGTGTGATGTACAGTAGGTGTAGAGGGGGGCACATTTTTGATTTAAAAAAGAAATGGTGAAAATTTAATTTGAACAAAGACTTTTTGAGGGTGAAAGAAAATTCTACTTTTAGGCCAAAACTTCCAGCAGTAGCGGGCAAGTGAAGCGCAGGGAGAGTGAGGGACTCACCCTTGGCGGGGTTGAAGACACCGTTGGTCTGAGTGTTGCACACGTAACAGCGCTTGGACTTGCGGTAGTGCTGAAGGGCGCAGGCCTCGCAGAAGTAGTGACGGCACCTGAGCGGAGGTAAATGCGAGTTTGCAGTGTGCAAGCACTAAAACAATTCAAACCAAAAGAGCTGCCTACTTTGTGACGATGGGATTCTTGTAGGACTCCCTGCAGATGAAACACTTGAACGGCAAGTCTTCCTCGTCACTGCTCACCTCGTAGTTTTCCTCATCTAGAGCGCAATGTTAAGGAAGAACAAAATATTTTGGTCATGATAATGGTGTTTGAATGGTTTCATCTGTAGCTGTGACCGTGCTCACCATTGGCGCCATATCTGCCTTCCTCCAATTCCCTCTCGATCTGCCAGCCGTGCTTGTAATCGCATCGGTCGTGGAGGAACTTGCAACTGTCTGACAAAAGAACCCGAAGGTATAACAACCTAGCCTACTGACTTGCTGTTTACATCTTTTATTTACCTCCAAAGCCGCAAAATCCGGTCTCCTTGTAGTCTTTGCAGATGTCTGGCTGGTAGTCCCACCTAACCGTGGCTCGCAGGTGCTCCGGGGCTCGGATGGGTCCTTTCCTGTTAGTTCAGCCACAAATGAGCAGGAGGACTGCGCAACTGTGACGGGTTTGTCGATTACCGGGAGGGCGGGGCGATTATTATTATTGGTTTGTTTTTAGCGGACTCGAGTGATGTGCTCTCCTTACAATAGTAACATGACAGCGTGGCAAATATTCCAATAGCAACATCAATGTTGCCATTCCCTTGGTAAAAACATGGCAAAACATTTATGCATATGAAAGCAGTGATTTAACTGCAGAATAAAGCAGATTAACCCATTATTTTCATCAACATCAGGGTGGAGACATTTTGACATGTACCACCCTATGCTGCCAATCGCTCAATCCGAATTAGTGGTTGATGGTTACCCACCGGACCATGCCAGAGGACGCATTGCCCATGGTAGTATCTTTGGGTTTGATGAATTTCTGGTAGTTGTTGATGCCGCGGTAGATCTTATCGTCCTCCTTACCCGTCAGCTCCTGGAAAGGACACAAGGGGGGTTCATCCAGAAGCAATCATGAGAAACACAGTTAGACAATAAACTGAATCACCCTTGGCTAAGTCAATATCTGCACATTTTGATGTGTGGTTTACCTCTTGGATTTTCTGGCTCCTCTCAAAGATGGCCTGAGCATCCTTGTCGCGCTCTGTGTCCAATTGGTACGTTGCCGTGGCCCCCATGTCCTCTGGGCCCTCTGGTTTCTTTTAGTAGGTGCACAGTACAAGTGAATGGTGTGGTGCTATATTACATACCAAGTGGTGCCTATCTACTATTAATAATCATGATCAAACATCTAATAGTGATCATATCAACTCACAGCCGAACGTGTTGACTTGTAGGAAATGGTTATCTTCTTGTCCTCCTTATCATCGTCGCTTTCACTTGAGGATACAGCCTCTTTCTCCACTTTCTTGGACTGGATACAAATGACACACGAAGCTACTATCTTGAGATTTTTTTGTTATTGTTTTAACCAAAAATGCTTTCAATTAAATATATTATTTGCAGGTAAAAGTATGGCTGGGAAGTGCAACTTGGGCCGAAAAACCACAAACATCCAATTTCTGATTTTAATAGATTTTCCCCCATTCTGACATCAAATCAAGTTTTGGTTTTTGTTTGCCAAACTGGCTGCTCTCAGTCATGTTCGTGGAATCAGTGCACGTCAGCGAGGACGCACAAAATAGTCCTCACAAAAAACACAAAGAAAGAGTCCCCGATCCTAATTAGCAGTTGTACTTTAATTTATTATAATACCTTTTGAATCATCGGGTTTACTCGCGTCTCTCTCTTATCCTTTCTGACCACAGAGCTGACTTCTTCATCACTGTTTCCATCTGAGCATGGGATCGTAACGTAGAAACACATTAACACATTACAATTACTTGCAACCGTAAAAATATCATTTCAATCAGCACTGGTACCTTTATCGCTGTCACTGGCCTTTCTTTTTCTCCCAGAAAATTTCTTATTAGATTTTTTGAACAAGAAAGTGCAAGAACCTTCTTTTAACTTGTCCGCCTCCGCCATCTTGTCTACTGAGTTTGTAAACAATACAGAACTCTTTCCCTACAGCGCCCTCTACAGACTTGGAAGTATTGGGACCGAATTACCTGAATGAAAATTTGATTAGCTTGCGTAAACTAAACAAAAATGAATACAGTATCGACTAATTCCGTTGGACATGATGTTTGATCAGTGCTTTTAAGTTTTGGCTGATTGGTAAAGTATTCATGAAGACGTCATTGCGTAAAACCGGAAATGAACCCATGAAGCTTTTACGCGAGAGCGCCCTCTACAAACACGGAAGTATTATCACTGAATTACGCCACAGAAAACATGATTAAAATCGGCCAACAAAACAAATAAATTACTTTAAGACTTAATGTAGCCACGATTTTGACTAATACGCTACAATGTTTTTATAGTACACGTGAAGGCATCTTTTGCGTGAGGTGGAACCAGAAGCACACTTCAGCACAGCGAGCCGACCCAAGTGAAGTAAACGCAATTAACCGGGGTAAACAAAACTAAATTAATCACACATTGGATTTGATTTAGCTACGAATAAGTTAAAACTAAAATATTCTCTTGAAATGTGAAACAGAGCTAGAATACTGTCGTACTCCTGCGAGTGTCTAGGTTTTATTTCGAAGCACACAACCGGAACCAGTGTGTTTCTATTTTGTATTTTAATATTGTCGACCACAAACCTAAGCAGCAATAGCATGCAGTGTTTGTCTAAGAAATTCAATATGGTGCAGGATGGACCTAAAGCTTTATCTTGCGTGAAGCCGTAAAAATAACCGAAAGTAACACGACGTCTTAGTTTATTTTATTTTGAAGGGCTTGACCGGAAATAGCGGATCTAAACCCTGTGTGCTTAATGGTTTCGACCTCCAGCCTCAGCAGCAGAATCCGCACCGCTCTCCGCTGCGTCGGCGACCGCCTTCCCCCACAGGACAGCGGCTGCACGTCGGACACAGAGCCTGCCTGAGGGAAGGCGGGGGCTGGTGTGGGGTGCGGACAGCTCCCGGCGCCGCCGCTACTGGATGGACGAATGGAGCCCGGCTGCATGCACACAGCAATGGCTATGGGTCTGATGTCGAAGAAGGCGTCCGTCCGGAGCGTCGGTGTGGAAAGAAAGAACCTCATCACGGTGTGCAGGTATATCACGACATGCGACCAGGATCGCCCCCCCCTCCCCTTAATGTGCATGCGCTGCGCAGTAAAGAGCACATTTAGTTGGTTATTAAAAATAATTGAATAATCATAATTGAAGTACCAAGTGCCCGAGGGCAAGTACTTCACTTCAATATTTGTCTAATATTTGCTTTTACCCTATAATGCCACCTTTCCTTCTAAACAGACATTCTAAATAGTATAGCATGGATGGGAAGTTGTGCTCCTAAAGCGCATACATTCGCTTTAATCCTCCCTAAATATCTCGACCCATTTCCTTTATTATCACCCGCTGAATCATGCCTATATATTTTTAATAAACAATCTATGAACAAGTCAAGGAAATAAAAGCTCCTACATCATAGTGAGTGATGTCAAGTGCTTAGATGGGACAAGGGCGTGCAAAATCTCCTCCTCCCCCATTTTCCCTTTTGATGTCCCATATATCATCATCATCATGAATGATCACAGGAGGTCATGGTTTGTACTGTGCACGCGTCTCGTTATACGGCTGTCGCAAACGGAGCTTTCCCACTCGGCATACGACGAGGCCTGCTTTGCGGCCATGACGTCTTCTAAAAAATATTTCTAAATTTGAAAAAATGTCTAAATTATTTTCTCAGCCTCCCTATGTATCGTTCAAGCCCCCCTTTAGCCACGGGAGTGAAAAAAAAAATCCTGGAGCCTTGGCTGAACAAACACATCAAAAAATGGCAGAAAAATGAGAGACACGCAGAAGAACCTATTAGCATACTGGAAGGTGATTGGCTAAGATGCTGCAGAACGTGGTCACAGAGTCAGTCAATTAGTGTCTAGCAAATATGGGTGGGGACACTTTCATGTTTTGCCTACCTTACCCAGTTCGAAAACTTCATTTGAATCGCCATGAACCTTGCAATCTTGTGTCATAAGTAGTGTTAAAAATAAATATACCCTCCACAAGAACAACAAAGACACAGTCAAAAATAGACACATCATCAAGAGTTTTTATTCCAGGAATCCAACTTTCCTGCTTTTTTTTTTTTTTTTTTTTTTTAGTGCCACAGATAGTGAAGCACACAAAGTCATAGGTCGCAAAAAAAAAAAAGAAAAAGAAAAGAAACCTCTTTTGGGAAATTAGCAAGCTCACGAAAAAAGACGTGGGACTGTTGTCAGATCAATTAGAGTGCTTTTTTTTTATATCAGTAACCAATATGAAAACGGTGGACAAGGACGAGACACACCTAAAAGGCAAGCACACGTACATTTCTATCAGTATTGTTGACACGTTTTTTTTTTTTTTTTTAATCTCTTCCCACTTTCTAATGAGCGGCAGTCATGAGTCCCACTACCTCCTCGCACATGGAAGCCATTCAAGTAGTCGTCACAGGTTGGTCAGTGGCGATGGGGCGGCGATCCCACATCAGCTGGCTGGAGTGGCGACGTGGCCCATTTGCTGCCGTACTTGCTAAGCGTATGTTAGTGATATTTTAATTCCCAAACTGTGGTGCCTGCCAGGTTAGAACTCTAACGACATTGCGGTATAATACACAGACTTTTTGTATGAGTTTCAATACTTTTTTGGTGTCGGTATAAGACTTGGTTTTACCTGCCCCATGGAGGTTATGTTTTCGTTGACCGCGCTATTAGTTAGCTACAGAGGGTAGGCAAAAACCGTTTAACAGACCCTAGCCCACTGGCCCTGGAACCCTAAACCAAATCCCTGGGTCTAATACTTACTTTAAACCTAATCCACATCATTATAAATGTTTTGTTCTATGGCGGCGCGGGCACCCGCGGCGGCTCCTCTTGTTGTCTGTTGTCTGTTTAAGAGGGAGGAAATTTCATCTGGGCAGCACATTTGACAATAAAGTTGTACTTGACTTGAACAACCTAATTGAAATACAAATATATATATATTTTTTGCGAGGGTCTTTGTGTCGCTCTAACGAGTGCCCTCATTGTTTATTCCAGGGCCTATTTGGTTCATTTGCATGGAATTTAAGGGAAAACAGACCAAACCTCAAAACATGAAGTCCTTGTCGGGGGCATTAAAAGCCATGATGAAGACGTTGGGTGATGACATCTCGCGGAAAAAAAAAACAGGAAGAACCGAGTGCAGTGAAGCCTTGCGAGGGAAGACGACGGAAGAATTGATGTACACTGTCACTGGGCTGCGCTGCTGTTGCTGCTAGCAACCGGTCAGGGGGCCGTTTATGCAATTTTTAACAAGAGGTTTTGGATGCTTTGTTTACGGTGTTGGCAGCGGTGACAAGGGAATCGGTGAACCTAGGAAAAAAAATGACAGCAGTCAGACTAAAAGGGGATGGCGGAGAGAATACTCGTGGCTCGATTTCTCCCTTCTTCGGTATAAGATGTAAAGACAGCAGAGGCATCTAAAAATTCTCCATTCGCCTTCATCTAACCAATTTCCAACATTCCCGACCACCTCGTCTGTTTGTTCCTTCCGCACATCCACCGACAGTCAAACACTTGCCAAGACACTCTGTAATATGGCAGAAAGGGAATGGGAGACACACCCGACCGGAGTTAGACTTTTCGAATTTGGCTTTGTTTCAAAAGCTCTTGAATTATTCATCATCAGCCATTCATTCTCTCGGAACATCTCCTCAGACGGTCCACCAGACGGGTGGGCCTTGCTTCATCATCGTGTGCTGCAAATGCGACTGAAAAATAGAGAGAGAGAGAGAGAGAGAGAGAAAGAAAGAAAGAGGTAGAGAGAGAGAGAAAGAGGGATAAGGGGAGTTTGTTCTTGGTAGGCTGGAAATAATTAAAAGATTGGTGTTGGTTTGGATCAAAAAGCTCCCGTTTTAGTAAGTACAGCAGAACCTTTAAATTCACTGCCCTCAAAACGTACTTAGTACGATTTAGACCCCATCAGGCTATCATCACCTCTTAATGCGATACTTAAGGATAAACTCCGTAATGGTGCCGTAATGACAAATCGACCGGATGAGCCACCAGCACTGGTCTATGCCACCCGGTTGAGACCACTTGAAACTCCCACTGACCAGTTACTGTCAAACGATGGAGAAGGGAGTCGTGGAAAAAAAGCACTGCACAAGCGCTCCAGTTGGTGAGCACCTCATCATTTTTCTTTGGCTTTTTTTAGTTTTAAAGCCGCCGCCCCAACGAGAAAAGGAGAAAAGTTCTACCGAAGTTCCAGAACCGATTGTGTTTGACCTCAAGGGTTCCAGTGTACAGTAAAAGGGCGCGGCGGGAGAACAAGAGGTTCATTTAAAGTGAGCCGTGAGTGGGCCAGGCGCCGCTCCAATTAGTAGTGAGAGTGGGTTGTGTATGTTGAAGGGCTTGAACACAAAAGAAGCTTTTCAGCTGTTGTTTTTCTGTGTCGAATGGTACCAAGGGCATGTTGCTAGGCTACACCAGCAGGTTCCCTTTGGAGTCTTCAGGAAGGTGAAAATCTGGTCAATGAGGTCACTGAGAACAGTAGGCCCCCCCTGCCTATTTAAATTACTGATATTTTATGATGAGTACAAAAGCTGTTCCTCACGCGGGTCCGAGGGCCGCCAGGGATGCCGGTTTCTGGATACTGACAGAAGCCATGGTACCAAGGGCATGTTGCTAGGCTACACCAGCAGGTTCCCTTTGGAGTCTTCAGGAAGGTGAAAATCTGGTCAATGAGGTCACTGAGAACAGTAGCCCCCCCACCCCCCTGCCTATTTAAATTACTGATATTTTATAATGAGTACAAAAGCTGTTCCTCACGTGGGTCCGAGGGCCGCCAGGGATGCCGGTTTCTGGATACTGACAGAAGCCATGCTTAACCCCTGAAATCACTTTTCTTGGTTTTGGATGTTGACAGGAAACAGACTTAGCTCACTAATCCACTTTTGTCGGTTGCGACTTGGATACTGACAGAAAAACATGCTCGGCACTCTGAAGCAGTGATTCAAGGCGCACGAATGTCCGCTGTATATCTTATAAATATGTCTTGATACATCGCGTACGACAGCAACATGTCACGACGTTGAAAGCTTTCCATTCGACGGCAGAAGGTGCAGTAAACCTGTGTGTCCGCTTCTTGCCGTTCATACAACGGTCAGGGAGCTTTGTGTTCGATTCAGCAGGCCCAAATTTTAGTCACGTTGTGAGTAAAATGAGACAAGAGCATCAATGTGTCAGTATTCATGCTTTTTTTTTTGGGGACACTTTTGTTTGGTTCTGTGCCACGAGATTTCATGCTTAGCTTAAAACTCATTCACTCCCAAAGACGTTTTTAAACGTCTTTTCAGACTTGGTCTAGAATTGGCTGATACTGAATGTTGAAAAAACAGTTTCTTACCGTAGAATTAAAGACACCACTGACCTGTTTGACTTATCCGATATGCTCCAGAAAACAGTCAAAGCCCCAAAAGTGAATTCAATCCAGCTCTTGTTTCCGGTTGGAGAAGGTCCGTCGCAGATGTTTGTGGTCTTTTGCTCCTGTCCCCCGAGATCGGAATGAGGTGCCCCCTCCCCGCCTAGAGCGTCTTGCGTTTGGGGAACATGGCTTTTCGAAAGGAGGTGGTAGTGGTACCCCGGCTGAAGGAGGCACCGCCCAAGGAGATTTTGGTCTTGCCGCTGGTAATAGTGGAGGAGCCCAGCGAGGTGGTGCTCTTGCCCCTGGAGATGGACGAGTTGCCCAGGGCCAGCTTGCTCTTGCCCCGCTTGATGCTGGTGTTGCCCAGCGTCAAGGCTGTCTTGCCCTCGGTGAAGCTGGTGTTGCCCATTGAGGTCGAGCTCTCCGCCGTGCGGACCCAGAATTGGAGGCAGAGGTTGGATCTCACTCCAGGTTGAGCATGGCACGCTCATGCAGCTCAAACGTCCCGCTCTGCAAGTCCTCAAACACAGCAGTAACGCCAGCGACGATCCGGAGCCCACCGGAATGCCGAGAGACCCTCCACCGGCATAAAGCCTTCGTTGAGCTGCCGGACGTGGGCTCGGGAAGGCCGCATACCACCCGGGAGTCGATGTGAATGGACAGAGGCAGCCCGTAGGTGGGAGACTGCCTATCGAGAGGGTGAGGGGCCGGGGGTTGCGACTCGGGACAGATGCACAATTGTCCCGTGGACTCGATGACACCGGGAACATTGTTAAGAGTCGTGCGGGGGGGGACTGGGGGGCGGCGTGCAATCTCACAGTGACATCACTTTGATCTGCACCATTGTTCCAAGTCTAAATGTTTGAAATAACTCGAAAGCAACTTCAAATGTCTTTCCGTGCAGTTCATTGAAATGGATTTTTATTATCCATTCGCAAGTCATTACAGATCGGTCGGTGTCACACGAACAAGACTAGCAGAGTTAGAAAACGTTATAAATAGTATGGTGGGTCAAAATGTAAAATCCGACAACCAAGCCAACGATAAACATTGAATTGTACATTAAAGGGTTGTTGATTAAAGCGCACTCTTATCTTTTCACACGTCCCTCTCGCCCCCCCCTGGTTAAACTTCTCAGTGATTACACACAATTCTTTCAACTTGCTGATACACCATCAAACCCCGCCTCACCCTAAAAAAAATGAGCACCGTGACAGACTTGACGAAAACAGACCACAGCGACATGTCCTATGTTTTATCTTCGATTTTCTTTTGGGTGTACATACTGGATTGAGACATACATCTCCCCCGTTTTTCTTTTTTTTATGTGCTGGATTCACGGCCGGTAATTCCAATAGACATGACTGTGGGTCTTGTCGCCCCTGCTGAGGGTGGTCCTGACCACAGATGCGCACTTGGTCCCGTGGGTGAAGGTCAGCGTGGTGATGGTGCTGGTGGTCCCACCCCGTGTGACCGAGGTCTTGCCCACGGCGACTCCGCTCTTCCCCAAAGTTAGCGTGCTTCTGCTCCAGGAGATGGAGAATTGGCCCCAGGAGATGGCGTACTTGGTGCCCAGCAGGGAAAATTTCCCTTTGCTGAAAGAAGTTCTGCTGGATGAATAGCTCGTCTTCCACTCGCTCTCAGAGTCGATTTTAGACTTCTTCTTATGTGCTGCGGCGCCGGCTCCCGGGGTCCGCTCCATCTAGGTGTTCCTGCGCTTGGGCATGAGCGCCTTGCGGAAGGAGGTGGTCGTGGTCCCTCGGCTGAAGCTGGCTCGTCCGAGAGCCACGGTGGTTTTCTGCCTCTGGATGGTGGAGTCTCCCATGGAGGTGGTGGTCACTCCGCGGAAGATGGAGGAGTTGCCCATGGCGACGGTGGTCTTCCCCCTGGCGATGGAGGTGCTTCCCACAGCCAGGGCGGTCTTGCCCTCGGTGATGCTGGTGTTGCCCATCGCCCCGGAAGAGGGTGGCTGCTGACTCCTAGCATGCGCGCTGCGTGGCCATTGACCGTTTTGGGACCCTTGCGATCTGGAGCGAAAGCCCTAAATAGTTGCGATCTGGGGGAGGGAAGGATTTGATCTTTTTTTTTTTTTTTTTGATACACGGAGCACAAAAGGACCTGGAAGCTCAGTGCGTGCACAAAGACCGCAAGGACAGGGGGTTAATTGTATTGTTGTCATGATAACGCTGAAGGGAGCTTTGTGTGGCACACAAGACAATTGGGGTGACCTCAGGGATAAAATGGCGTGCCCCCCTCCACCACCAGCACCACCAAAAAAAAAAAAAAAAAAGCTGCCAACCACCACCACGGCCTCATCGCAGTGCTCACATACAGTAGTACGTTTGTACACTGAGTACAGGACTCGGCTAAAGAAGCGTCTTCTGTTTTTTTTGTCAAGGTTCTCGGTCAAGACTCTCTTGGAAAAGTACACGGCTGAGCCCATCGACGACTCAGCCGAAGAGTTCGTCAACTTTGCCGCCATCTTGGAACACATCCTCAGCCACCGCTTTAAAGGTAACGAAAAACGCACCCCCGCAAGGATGCTGAGCAAGTTTTGATGTTCCCGCTTGAAAGTGGTGGTGGGAAGGAATGAAATACAAATACTTCATTCCACAGTACTTTGTCGTTGTGTAGATTTTTCAGTTATTGTATTTTAAGTAATTTATAATTGAAATTATATTGGTACTTTTAATTTTTTGGGTATGAAGACATGATGGCAAAAAAATGGGTCAAAGCCACAACCAAAAAAAAAAAACCACCAACAAAAAAACGGGGACAGCAGCGACAAAAGAGAAACGTCATTGAGTTAACGATGATGGCAACGGAACTTTTTTTCATTTTATGAACACTACAAATGTTAAAAAAATAGAGGGAAACTGTTTGCAGAAATACTTTTGTCATCTCTGCTCATCAGGCTCAGCCAGCTGGTTCAGCTCAGATGGACAGCGCAGCTTCTGGGAGTACATCCGGCTGGCCTGCAGCAAGGTGCAGAACAACTGCATCAGCAGCATCGAGAACATCGAGAACATCAGCACGTCTCGAGCCAAGGCAAGGACTCGTCATTATGTGTGCCTGTGGTTTTGTGCCTGACATCTTTTTTTTTTTTTTAAACGCAGGGTCGGGCATGGATTCGAGTGGCGCTAATGGAGAAACGTCTTTCGGAATACGTATCCACTGCCCTGAGGGACACCAGAACGACCAGGTAATCCTCACGCTCAGATCTTGAGTCAAATTTCAATTCATTTGAATTAAAGTCTTCATTTTCATGATCGTTTAACTATGAATCGAGCTCCAGGAAGAGACACTTTTTTTTTTTTTTCTTCAAAAAATTTTTAACTGGTTTGTTTGTGCTGACAGGAGGTTCTACGACGACGGCGCCATCATGCTGAGGGAAGAGGCCACGGTGCTGACCGGCATGCTCATTGGCCTCAGCGCCATCGACTTCAGGTGAATTCTGGTCACAAAATTAGGGACAAATTATGGCGATTCGATGAGCTATCAGCATGATGGATTCTAAACCTTTTTTTTATTTAATAAATAAAATTTCACATTCACAGATCAAATGAAATAATACTCAAAACTTATGACACTTTTTCTGTATAGTTTCTGCCTGAAGGGTGAAACATTGGACGGCAAGTCCCCGGCGGTGATTGACTACACTCCCTACTTGAAGTTCACTCAGAGGTAAAACTTTTTGGACATTAGCTCCGCATTAGCATGTGCCACGAACACAAACTCCGCCCCCGCCGCAGCTACGACTGCTTGAGCGACGACGAGGACCGGCGCAGCGTAGACAGCAGCAACAGTGAGGAGAGCGTGCCCGAGCATCCTTACATCCCGCTGGTCACCGATGAGGAGAGCTGGAGTAACAAGTGTCGCAAGATGGAGCAGCGATTTAAGATCGTGTACGCCCAGAAGGTAAGAAATAAAACAGCATTTTGGGCTGTTACAGAAAAGAAAATCCGGCGAGCGCTGCAAATAGGTGACATTTTCAGTCGATAGCTGGCGATAGTTTTCAACGGGAAAAAAAAATATATGAACGCAAATAGGTGAATTTGTGAATACCGCAAATATGTGAGTGGTTGCTGTACATTCATTGGGTGTTGGCTATACATATCTGGCTTTTCAAGAAATATAATATCACTCAGAACTCGATGATATGGTTGCCATTATGAATTTAAAAAAATAAATAAATCAGGTGCCTTCCCGGTGTGCTGTTCAGGGCTACTTGGAGGAGCTGGTTCGCCTTCGTGAGTCACAGCTAAAGAACATCGAGACGGACAACAAGCGTCTGAGGGCAAAAGTGGACGAGCTGACCTTGCAGAGTCAGCGCGAGAAGAAGGAGCTGGAGGCCGTTGTGCTGGAGCTGCAGGCTCAGCTGTGAGTCCCCCCTGCCCCCACACCCCTCCTTATATTAGTGGCAAGGTCGGGCAATGACCCACCAGATTCTCCCAAAGGCGTAGCCCGAGGAATGCATCGCGATCGACGCACCCCCTGGTTTAGAAGATCAATCATGAATGATTATTTTTATCCGTGTCTCTTTCAGCTCCTCCCTCATGCCCTGTGACCCTTCCCACCTGGGAAAAAACCTTTCCATCCCTCTCATCAACCAGTGGACCGCCATCAACGACCACCGGAGAGACGTCAAACTCTTCCGCAGGTAAGCACAATTATATTATAGTGAACTCCCGCGATTAGTCATAGGGGATAGCGACCGAGCCCTGCTGCCAATCGCGAAAATCCGCAGATCATGGACACCTCCCTAAAAGCGGCTTCTAATTATATAATTGCGAAGGACATCACACAGGGACAAACGAATATGCGCATGAGTGCTTCACATTCGAAAAAAATACTCTGTTCTCACCTTATGGCATTTACACCCAATAATAAATGCAAAGGAAGACACCAATACAGGCAGAGTGTAATCGACAACAACACCAAGATGCCTAAAGATGGTGCCAAAGTACTACTTTTATTGCTTTGCTTGTTTTCACCATATTCTATGAAGACGTTATTGTGATTCTTCCAGGAGGAGTTTCCACAGTTTGGAGCAACTTTCCGCCAAGAACAGCCTCAACTCGGACTCTCAGAGGACCGACGAGAGGCAGAACGGAGACGCTGATTGGACCTCAGCAGGTAGCACATGATTATGACATCATGGTCACGTCAATTGTTCCATGTCGCTTATCAGTAATAACAATCCCGACGCATGTTCGCCTGATTGGCATATCACTTGATGCAGTTCATTCCAGTCCACTAGGTGGCAGTTATACGCCCGACAAAGTGGTTGTCATGCTGTTTCAGGAAAGGACAACACGCCATCAATGTTGGGCCTCTGCGGCTCTTTGGCGTCGCTGCCGAGCTCCAAGTCGCTGACCAGCCTCAAGTCCAGCGAGTGTCTGGTCAACATCCGCCC